TACTGATACCAGAATCTCGCAAGACCCAAGTCATTCGAATGCGTCACAAAAACACAATGGCCATTTTTATATTGCCGCGAATTGACACGCAAATTTCGTCTCGAGATTTGCAACTATAAAATAAAATAAATTAAATTATTAAATTATTTAATAAGGTGATTCCCCAGAAAAAAAGTTTCCATAAACGTAGGTCCGGAAATCCATTGTTTCCAAGACGTTAAAGTTTTGTTTAAAAATAATGTTGAAATTAATTCAAATATCTTTTCACGGAATTGTTTGTTGTTTCTAGATGATTTGGCCCTAACTAAATAAAAAATTAACAGTGGCCTTAGGGGAGGGGTCGACTTAATCAAATTTATTGATAAAAATGTACGCCACTGACTATAATTTAATTTCGATATTTCCCTGAGATCGAGCGACCAAAAATACTACTTTTCCGTCTCTTGTATTTTTCTCTTATCTTGCTTCGTTTACCTGATAAAAAATAAAAACCATTTTATTGCTTCTCCATTCATCATAAAAGTACCTTTCAACAATCCATTATTTAGCGAACAAGTCGACTAAAAATAATTGAATATTTATCATTCAAATTTTTTTTTAAAACTATTCAAAAGGGTTGGTGTTATTCGAATGTGTTAAGTTTATATCTATCGGTCTAATATTGCAGTTCCGTAACATGAATCGCAATACGAATACGGAGATGACAGACATGCACTTTATTTATGGCAATCAATAGCTAACCGGTTGTACAGGGTGGTCGTAATTGGAGTATTTTAACAGGAAAAACCTATTTCTGAACTAGATAGAGCAAAATCGACTTACATGTTTGAGAAACATTTAATGGTTTTTTGAGAATTGCTCATAACTTCTTTATTTATGAAGATTCTGGATTCGAATAAAAACATTATTAGGGCATTTTTTAAGGTAAATGCAGTGTCTGACGTAGATTTTTTTTAAATAAGGGCAATGAAAAGTGAAAAAGACGAAACCTATGAACCATTTAATATTTTAATTTTCATTCTAGATATTATGATTAATATTATAAATTATAGTTATTTTAAGCTGATAAACAAAATACAATGAATATTACAAAACATTTTTTTTACATTTTTACGTTAATTGCATTGAAACATTTTAACGTAAATGTTTAAACTGTGCCACTCTCTTTTTCGTACTGAAGGGCCACTATTCACTAACTCTATAGGACTGATGGGAGCAAACGCTTCTCGGGTGGCTTCCTCTAACTCTGTTTTAGTTTGGACATTTCTTTCTTTAAATATAAGATCTTTTAATCTCCTCCATAAATCTAAAGGAGTTAGATCATACACACACCTAATTGTAATACAACATTGTCCAAAATCTTCATTTAAAAATTGACGTGCAATCCGTGCTTTGTGAGCAAGGCAGCCCTCTTGCTGATAATAAATACGCTTTCCAAGAATTAATGGCATACCCATATATTAAATCCAAAGCACACTTTCTACATAAAACTTCAAAAAAAATTACAATTAAATTAGGCTACAATTTCACAAACTCAGGAAAGAAAAATAAATAACTAAAGTAAGCTATCTGATTCCTAAACCTACCCTGACTAGTGAAAAAGTCCAAATACTCGTTCTCATTGCCCAGCCGGGCCGCCCTTGCAATGAATGTATTACGTCCACAATTGGTCCTGTGGTACGGTACAGAAAGTGTGCTATTTAAGCGAGTTATTCGTATTGGTGCCGAAAACCCAATTTTTGACGGAATGGAGGGGCAAAAACAACTGGAATTACTAAGTTTGAACAGCAACATCATATTTTGCTTCGTCACGACGTGCTTTAAGAGTTTTCAAACCTAATGAGTTTTCAAGGCCCACATCATCGATGTTAGCCAAGTCGACATCCAACTGAAACACCATATAACGAAGAAAAAGGTGCTGAACTTGTTCGATTCGACGGATAGGATAATCAGAATTCAATAGACATGAAGCATAATCCAAGTGTGGTTGAACCAGAGCAAAATATAGGAGTTATGGAATTCACGTTTTGAAAATCTAATGATGACCTCTTAATAAAGCCCAACATTTTATAAGTCTTTTAAAATTATTTTGGATATATGATTGTTGAAGGTCAAGCCGATTTCGCCAAGGTCTTTAACATTTGATACCGCGATTTTGATACCCTACACCAAGAGGATTTTCTATGCTTCAGCGATAACAATTGTTAAATATTCCGGATACGTAATGAAATAAACTTCATTGGCTGCCTCTGCGTTTTCGTTTGACACAATGTAATTCTGTATCATATCATCCTTTTCATAATTTTGGTACATTTTAAATTGCTAAATGAAGTAAAAGCTTAAGTTTGGTCGCTAAAATTATGTGTGACAGAACACATAATTCAGTAAAGAATAAAAGTTATGTCCCTAACTGACATTGACAGCTAAATGAACGGCCTACTAATACATAAACAAAAAATGCCCTATATTTCCGCCTTTTTCCATAACAGATAACAAATTTATATGGACTGCTCGACACGGGAAGTTTTTGTTAAGACCACAGCCAAGTATGATTGCCATATAAAATAAAATTGTTTTCATTTATGAGAATACGGAGAACTACAGAAAAAATGTGAGTACGGCACTGTATTTGCCTTTAAAAAAAAATGTTTTTATCCGAATCCAAAATTTACATAAATATAAAAGTTATGGGCAATTTTTAAAACGGACGGAAATTGAAAAATACCCTATATCTCGGTTGATAGTGAAGATATCGCCATGCGGTTTTAACTATGAAATGTTTCTCAAAAATCGAGCCCTTGATAGTAATTCCTTTTTTGCTCTATCTAGTTCAGAAATAGCTTTTTCCTGTTAAAACACTCCAATTTCGACCACTATGTATACTGAAAAGTTTTCTGAGTATTGCTCCTGATGAATGCGGATGTTTTGAACATAAGTAATGGAATTATTTGCAAATTCTGAAGAACAATTCGTCATATCCATACCAAATAGAATGCGTTCGTTTATTCGCATCTTCCTGTGGATTTTTTTTAGACATTGCGTTCGGTCAATGACTTTTGCGCAAAATGGTTGAAATCCGGCAACTACTGATGTTGATGAAGAAATGCAATAAGACATTTTTATTAAAAGAATTTAAAACGTAAACCGGAAGTACCGGATAGTATTTCACTATACAACGGTGGTCAAGAGAAAATGGATAATTAAAATATCAGCAGTCCAAGGGAAATTAGTTGGTTTACCCACTGAAATGTAAGCAATATTTAAGGAACTATTTCCCTATACTTCCTTCACCTATTCCATCAGGAATGAACATATGGAAATGTACCAGTAGTTTGAAATACACAAGAGACAAGACAACTAGAGAACTAGACATGACCTGGAAAACAAGTTATGCTGGAGGAAATGCAACGAACTTAAGGTGTATTTCCCAGGTAGGTGCATCTTAAACAAATGATTCGTTAAATAATTATTCTGCACTAACATGACAATTTAGCAACAAAAGCTCAATAATTTTCGTACTTCTACATAAACCACAATAGCAATAAAGAAGTTAATATCGCAGATCTAACACGTAAGCAAAGGAAACCATGCAAACCAGATATAGAGAGTATATATTATGTGGCAGGGTCGTAATTATAACTATATGCCATAGTTGTTATCTAAATGGACGGAATAAAAAAAAACTAAAATATATATTCCTAGACTCAGTGCATAATCAATAATTAACAATCCCTTATAATTCTATCGTAGTATATTCGAATAACAATTCTAAAGTGTTACAGCACCAGCGCATTTTGGTCAGATTGCTTGTGAGTTTTTGACATTAGGATGCTGAAATTGCTAGATTGGAAGAGGTAGACCTCACTTATGGCCTGATTTAAACTCTATAGATTTTTTCCTGTGTGGACGCCCAAAGTCCTTGGTACGTTACTCCCATGAAAAATGTAGAGGACATAATAGATCAAATTATTGCTGAGTGCAGCACAATTAGAAACTACCCTGGAATTTTCTCCAGAGTTCGCCAGTCTATGAGAACAAAATTGGGTTCTTACACCCGTACTGAAGGTGGTCCCTTTTAGTTGAATTCTTCACAAAAACTTCAAAAGAAGAAAAAATACTACTTTTAGTCGCTCTATCTCAAAGAAGTATTGAATTCATATTAAGTCAGTGACGTACATTTTTATCAATAAATTTTATAAAGTTGGAGCCAAATCGGTCCTTTATCACTAGAAACAGCTGCCAAATTTTAAACAATGAATTAATAAAAAAAAAACATTTATGGGAACTTTTTCCATAAAATTATTTAAGAAATCACTCACTTAAATATTAGCGCGTCCTTTTTAAACAACCGGTGTATTATAATTAAAAGATTAAGTTTCAAGTGACCATAATTTTGAAAACAATGACGTAAAAAATTAATTTCGGAATATTACTTGACTGCGGGAATCTTTTGGCGTCATTTGTCGGTTTTCCTGGCAAAACTGCAATTTGCTCAGGTTAAACCAGGTACACGAAACGCGACCTTGACTGGGATATTGTTTAAGTGTTATTACTGACCATCATTATAATAATATTGTTCCCTCGCATCAGAAAATAACTTACGTGCCATTAATATACATATGTTCTGATTTTTAATTGACCAGTTTACGAAAAGATGCACGGCGTTTTCGTCACGTAAAATGTTTGTTCTGTCATTATCTACTACTCGTCCGTTCGCCATACAAGTTCATTATTAATTAATTACATTAGGATTCCGCATTCGGCGATAACGTGTTAAATTGTGTGTAGACCACCATTGCCCACGACTTGGTATTTCTATTACAGGAACGATCGAGAATCGGTGTTTATTTGCAAGGTAACATGCAATCGGAAAATACATAGAAGATACCGGATTCGATTCGATATGCGCCAAAGTGTTTTCAGATTTGCTCAAATGATAGTTGAATTGAATTTCAAACAGCGCACGAGCTTAAGAAAAAAATAGTTTTCCACTAACTCACCCAACTGCCGCAAATTGTGACTCCACGCTTCTGTCAGAGTACCCACGAGTACCGCAAAATATAAATTAAATTTCCCTTCGACGTGCATTTTGAAATGAACCGCCACATCCAACACTAAATAAACCACTCGAAGGATCCAGCTCTTGGGTTCACACGAGGCAGCTCGAGAATTAAAAAAAAAACGTAGGGATCGCGACGAGATGCACCAACGATTGACGAGCGCCGTCCGACGCGACGAATTCGATCGAAATGGAATCCGAAACGCGACACGATCATTTTTTGTTACTTATTCGTTGTTTACCTGACGGTGTTGTCATTTACTACCATGTGCGTATGAGCGCAGGGCGATTTAGCGAGTATCGTGGACTCGGGAACACCGAAACATGCCATCTTGACAGAATGTGTTTGTTCTTCGTAGGCTACATACAGGTGGAGTTGTCGGCAGACATATTCGTTGTTGCTACACATTCGCGGACAAATCTCTACAGATGTGTGGACGCCATTTCTTTTTTGTTCACTTCTGCTCGTTTTCGCTTTGCGAACTATTGTGTCTTATATCGGGTTATGGATAATAAATAGAAACTGGCAATAATTGGTATAAAAGTTTAGTGAGAGAAGCATTTAGTGCCACGTAACGATATTAAGCGACCGGAAGAAATGTTGACTTGAAGTTTGGTTGTGCAATTTCCCTAGAGCTTCTAGGACAAATTATACCTAAAACTTGTTGGGCATTATTTCTGTCATTAAAACATGAATTCTTAAAAATAAGTATTTTAGATAGTTTTAGTATAGTTACAATAACCATTAGTGTTTGTTAAATAATACAAATTCGACAATGTCAGCTGCCGTATTGTCATTTGTTGTATTATTTGTTGGTGGTCAGTTATTTTTAAAGACAGCGACACTATGCTACTTTTGTGTCAACAAAATTACCATGACCATCTTGGTTTTTGAGTTACAGGCTGAAACCCAAAACTATCGATTTTGGCACCATCCCCGTATTTCCGTTGTCTTATAAGTAATTATATATATGCTACATGAGCTATTATCTTGATTCGGGTTTAAAGGCCGTCGTCGATTGGAATTACTTCCTAACATTTCGCTAGCACGAGTGGCGAGCTTCTTCCGAGGTCCTTCCATCTCCGATGTTGGACGTAGACTGTCAAACATCGGAGTCAGCGGGCCGCGAAAGCCTTAACCAATTTATGCTACATGAGTTAAAAAACGTACATATAGCATTTGTTTCCAGAATCCAGTAGCGTAGTAGTCTGTTTTTTACATGCTCTAACCGTTTTTTTTGTTATGAAGCAAGCATATATTTTTTAATGGAACACACTATATGTTATTTGTTATATTAATTGGAAATCATTTAAGCTTTTCAAAAATATGTATTGGCATAGAGTTGTATTGAGAATTAAGCTCAAAATTCAATTTTCTTCATTTTCTACCTTCTTTGCAGCAGTAGGACACAATAAATCAACTAAATTAGCTAAAAATAAGATACATCTAAACGATTATTACGATACAAGAGCCTATTTACTAAGTTTTGAAAAAACACGATTAAAATATATTTTTTAAAAATAATATTATTTTTTTAATATGATAAATATTATGTTATTATAATGTTAAGTAAATGTGTCAAAAACTTAGGAGACTGACCGTTTTCAATTATAGTTCTATTATCTATCCATTTGCCTTCGTGTGTTTATTTCATTTAAATTAACTTTCTATAATTATAGCAGTATATGAAAATTCTATGTTGGTATGTTCTATACAATGCAATGAAAATGCCCGTAGGTAAGGCTATAGTCAGAATAACTTTTATATTATAGAGCTGAGTTTTGTTTATATTATATATCTAGAGAGGCGACAGCCGTTTCCAAATATAGTTGCTCGTCTGAAAATAAATCTAGTTAGGCACGGATTCTTTATTTAACCACGTCCTAACAATTATTTGTAGAAGAATAAGGAGCAATGTAATTAGGTCTGTAAAATACCTAATTACATACTGATCTAGCGTGTGGGAAGCGTCGTCACTTTACCACATCAGTTTCGTTTCCCACGAATCCGACCCACTTCGGACATTTCCAGGATTTTTGCAGCACGGGTTTGGGAACAATCGGATGTTTTTGTCAAAACGTTTGTCAATTCTAACGGTCATGTCAGTGAATGCATATGTGTTGTTTTGTGAAAATGTACCCAAAAACTAACGGTCCTAGAAAAAGTATAGTATGCAACACATTCGGTAAACTTTTTATGTCACTCGTTTATTAAACACTCGCTACGCTCGTGTCAAATAAACTTACCGCACTTGTTGCATAATAATATATTATGCAACAAGTGCGGTAAACGGCATTTGACTCGCAAGTTTATTTGCAACCTAGTGCGGTGTACATACTATACTTTTTTTACGACCATTAGTTTTTGGATACATTTTCGCAAAACAATACGAATTCATTCACTGACATGACCGTCAGAATTCACAAACGTCAAAATCAAAGCATGAGAAATATCTTCGAAAACATCCGATTGCTCCCAAATCCGTGCGGTAAAATCCCGGAAATGTCCGCAGTGGCTCGGATTCATGGGAAATGAAACTCACTTGGTAAAGTGACGGTTCCCGCACGCTAGATCGGTGGGTAATTAGGTATTTTACAGACGGGAGTAGAAAAAATAACATACAGCAACTAAAACATTTTCTTTTTATCCTCTTGCACCTATATTTCGTATGCAGCCAGATATATCGCTTCCTTAATGTGATGAGGCATCCTTTCGCGCTTCTTAGCCTTGTGATGTAGGAGGTGTTGGTACGTGTTAATGCAATGAGCCGGAATTTGGAGGCACACCCGTGCATATTTGATATTTGAATTTGGGACGAGCCCAATTAAGCGTAAAGAAAAAAATATATATTCTAGGCTAACAGTCCCCTTGCATAACAGATAATTTGTTTACATCCATTATTGTGCGACTCCTTTTTTTTCTAACTTCACACAGTTTAATTTCAATGCAGGTTGTTTATAACAACTTATTATTATTATTTTTTGTTTTTCTTATTGTCATCATAATCACATATGCTCTTGACAATATCTGTTAACAATCTTTCGTGCTAACGCGGAATTGAGCCGACTGTAATGTCCTTTTTCAAGAATAGTTTTCGTATTTTGTTGATCAGATAGTAGCTATTCGAAGCTATAGTTTTTTGCATCATAATCGGAAGCGGTGTTGTAGAATCCGTTAAAAATAATAAAATAAAAGTTGTGAAATTTGAACTCCTGCTTCTCTAAAGCACATATAATACATATGGATTAAATTAATGTTAAATATTCAAGCTTTTTTGTCGGTACTATATATAGACCACCCAATACTAATATATCAAAGTTTTTTAACACACTTCAGGAATCTTTGCTTAATATATACTTAGACCATAATAACATAATATTCTTTTGTGATTTAAATGCAGGTCCTGAATCTATATTAACTTGTGTTTTTTACTTTCAATATGGACCAATACGTATAAAATCCTACCCGAATTCATGCTCTTACATTTAAATTTAAAAAACGTGTCTAATGTAGAGGTTGTTGATAATAACATTGCTGATCACTTTGTAACATATATAAAATTTAGTTTAGACTTGCCAGGTGATAAACCTGTAAGTTTCTATTAAAAAATATTAATCTTCTGGAGTTTGAGAGAGGACTACATTTGTCTTTAAATAACATACTTTATTTATATGATATTCAGGAAAAGCTAAATTTCTTACATACCTGCATATTGGAATTGTTTAATGAGCACGCTCCCTAAAACTGCTTTAGAGAAAAGAAAAAGTATAAAGATGCGCCGTGGATTACAGATAATATAAAACTCTCACAAAAATTGAGAAATAAAGCCCTAAAAAAATTTAAACAATCTACGCTTCTTGCACATTGCGATTATTATAAAATATTGCGTAATTACTTCGCCACAAGGTCAGAGACAAAAGCTTATTTAAACACAAAATTTCGTATTTGCCAAAGAGAAATAGAACAAATTAAGGAAGACTTATGTTATAAAACGTAACAAGGGTACTTTACTGAATCATTTAGGTAATGTCAATTAAATTAATAATAATTTCTTGGTAAACAGTGTCAAAAATAAAGATGTCGCCAATCAGAAGCCGTTAAATTTTTGTAATGGTAATATTTTAAATGACAGAACGCTCCAATTTAGCTTTGTCCTGTCTACGGAAGGTGAAATTCTCAAAATTAAAAAAAAAAAATAAAATCCGAAGGTGCTCGTTAATACTTCTCTGTATTCCACAAATTGTAACATATATTACACACATGATAAACGAGTGTACCTTAAATTCGTATTTTCCGTCGATATGGAAGCGAGGACAAGTTATACACCTACCGAAAATAAATAATCGAAGCCTATTTAATCACCTGCGGTCAATTAGCATATTATCTGTTTTATCAACAGTACTTGAAAGGTTTATTAACAAACAGATCCACAGGGCAGTAATGTTGGTCCCTTGTTGTATACTGTTTTCACCTTAAACTTCATGAGTGGCACAAAGTTCAACACTACGACTGGAATTTTTATGCGGATGACACTCAAATTTGTTATTCATTTTTTCCTCAAGAACAAAGCTATCGCTGAGGACTTTATTAATACTGATTTATCTTTTTTTTTTAACATTACATTTCCTAAAGCTAGACCCAAATAAATCTTCAGTCATACTCTCTAACCCATGCAACGAAGAGCATAACATTTAAACTTAACATAAATTGGTCATAAAAATTTGGGTCTCACTCATAATTTGCGCTTGCGATGTAGAGAACATATTACAACAAACTTAGAGTTGCCTATGGTAATTTGAAATTAATTTAGGGTAATAGACATATTCTGCACTGCAGTGCCGTTTACAAACCATGTTTGGATGGTGCCAATCGTTACCGTGTTCAGAACTCGTGCCTAAGGCTAATTTATTGATAATACAAATTGTGCGTACCTACTTTTGACGCAATTTAATTCAATTAAATGTGTTATTATATACAATTTCGCTGTTTCAATTGAGGCCTGAACAGTATCTAGACTTTCTAGCTGCCCTTGCAAGGCCTATTTTTAACCAAGCCTTTTTTATTTGCTTATTTAATAAAATGTGATGTTATTGATTGTAACAATAAAAGTATTATTATTATTATTATTATTATTATTATTATTATTATTATTATTATTATCTTTATTATCAAGTAAATAGTTCGACCAGTTTATATTCTCGATTTTAAGTCAATTGCGCATCCCTCGGACTAACTTAAAAATTACCTGATAGCCATTACAATCTGCGAATTGCGCTCCGGTAAATATTAGATGTCATCCCGCAAACATATTCTACAAACATTATCGATTCGATACAACATATCAGTTTTCTGATTGAACTAAGGTTTTGATGTTTATTTTTTGAGTTTTCGCAGCTCAAATTCATTTCGAATTTCGGACGTTAAAAAACTGCTTCGAACGGCAATACTGGTAACACAATTTTACTTAAACTAAACCAATCGAAAATTTTATTATCTGGTATTTTTTACGTTCGTGTCATTTTAAAAAAGATTCATTTTACCACGAAAACAAGATATTAACAATTCTCGAAACCTGTTTGTAACGCGATACGCTAATACCTGGTAAAGATTCAACGAGTATAATCCGAAATATATTGTTTACGTATTCACCAGAACCATTAATCACTTGGATTTTTATATTCACTGCAATTAACCACGCTATACATTTACTTACTGGCCCAATAAAAAGGGTATGTACAGGGTGCTGATAACAACAAATTCTACCTCCAAAATAAGTGTTAGTTTTCTATTATAAATATATTTCGAAAAACCTAACTGAGCAACAGATACGAAAAGGAATATAAAATTTTGGTCAGAGGCTTCACTTCTGAGGAGTACACGTAACATAAACTGTAATAACTTTTTTCTGTGTTGCCTGTTTTTTCCTATAAAATCGCATCGAAATCGATTGACATCGCCAGGATTTGTTCATCAAAAATCAAAAAGTATGCCTTGAAACTTTATTCATGGGTTTTTTATTTGTTAATTTTCATTCCATGGCTCACGAGAAGGCGGTTTTTATCCCAGAAATATGGGATCTTAAAATGACTTTGCAATATGTAACGTTATGACAATATCTTGACGGGCTGAGACAATGTTGCAAACATCGCCGTAGTTTTTAAAGGTTTAATCCAAGTATTTTAGGTACCAGAAAACATAGATCAAGATCAAGTACAATTTTTTCTCCTAACAGTGTTACGGTTAGTAAGAAACGCACTTTTCTCATGTGACGTCTTAATGAACAAAGACACGCCATTTTAGGGGAATTACTTAACCTTCATTTTACGTGCGTGTTGTACCATGTCGTAGTTTGCTTTATTTTTATGAGTTTTTAAATATGGAAAACTATTTTAACACAATGATATTATAAAGACTGACAGTGAAAATGCTGCAAAGGGGTGATTGTAAACTCGGCGGTTTGGATTCCAGTGTCAGTGTCATTTCATGGGTATGAAAACAAATCCGCGCCTGTATCCATAGGCGGGTATATTTCTCCTATGTCGTGTAATTTCGAGTTTCGATACGATGGAGTTAGATTTTTAAAACAAGTTGATCTCCAAAAACATTTATTGCTGCTAAGTCTTTGGACACCAAAAATCAAGGTGATACACTTGATGATTCTAAATTCAGTTCGGCAGGTAGTCTGAGCGATGTTGTAACGGAAACCTTAAAATTAAAGGAAAACCGAAAAATACAAAAATACTTCTTTTCAAGACTTATTATGGCCACCTGCAGTGTTTCAACTAAGAATTTCCAGCGAAAAAATTTCCACCGTCTATAAATTTTTCCACATAAGAGATATTACGCGTCCAATCACAAAATACACTTTACCACAACCGTCCAAAGACAATCAATCCGAAAGCAATCCCACACGTGCCACTGTTGTCCTCAATTACATTCAAAACATCATTCACAACATATCAAAGATTCTTAAGAAATATACCGTCAAAACCAGATTTATCACTTGTCCAAAAAGTCTCTTCGGTCTGTCAAAGAGAAAATTCTGTTTGAGATACTATAAGTTTGCAGCATTCTATGCATATGCGGCAAAGAATACATTAGAGAAAGAGCCTTAAGTCTATTAACAAAAGATCCGATAATCTATAGACATCAAGGCAAGAAAATAATCTTAACCGACACTTAGGTCTTTATTTTTCATCAATATGGGAATCGGTCATCCGAGGTAATATAATCAAGTACAGAGTAGAAGTAGAATGCTTTTCAGTTAAGGTCTGAAGATGCCAAGAGTTCGATTAAACAACAATCCAGAAATTTTGTAAATAGTATTACAGTGGAAGTTTCTCTGAAAAATCTTAAGCAATGTTGAGCAGTCAGATTTGCAGATTTTCAGCTAATCAACGTAAAAATCTTTAAAAATAATTGAAGCCAGTTGGGCGTGTTCAACTTTATTTAACTGTGCAACTTTGTGTAAATATCGATATGGTAAAAATTTGATAGCTTTAGCAACAACCTCGAAGATATATCTCAACATTTTAATAATGTCGTTCTTCGAATCAGGGATACTTGGATCACAGTTGCGAATCACAGAGCCCGACGTCGATGAATACCTGCTGCTGCTAGACAAGAACAACCCAGCATTGCTACTGGTGGTTGATTTGCACCCAGAACACTTTAAATCCAGTTCTGTTAAAGCGATGACAACTCTTTTCTATGACATATAAATATAAAAATTTTTGACATGTGCTTACCATTGAAAAAGATGGCCAGTAGAAAGTTTTCCAAATGGGGTTCACAGGATCTCAAAATACTAATTATTAATAAAAACACTGCTCATAACAAATTTAAGCAAAGTAGGCCACCATTGGCATTTACTTATCAAAACAGTCTCTCGAAACCTAGCGAAACTTAAAAGTGTTTCAATCTTATACCCTGGCAAACAACCATCCCTCTTCATTTCTAACAACAGTTCAGCTTCCATGGGCCCGCAGGCTTCAGAACTCTTTGCGGGGTACTTCGGCTCAGTCTATGTTATTATTTTATGCCAGATCAGCCCTCATTGGGTCCGCACAACTCAATCCCATAATCCCAATTTCAGATACAATATAGTTGAATAATGTTAACCTTGAGATAAAGGGCCTGGACCAGATATGGTTCACCCTCTACTTCTCAAAAACTATTGCTTTATCTTATCTAGACCTCTGCATATCATCCTTAGCAAGTCAATTTAGGCGGGTATATATCCCGGCGTATGACAGACAAGTTTTGTAATTCCAATTCATTAGTCTAGTGATTTATCTAATGTGGCTAACTACCGCCCTGTTAGTATACTCGTACCTGAACCTGTAGTGACCTGGATGTGCTGGCAAACGCCTTGGAGAGATCAGTGGAAAAGATACACTCAATATAAACACACTTCTCGAAGGCGTCTGACAGAGCACACCATGATTGATTAAGAAACTCGAGATCCTGGGTGTTTCCGGTACTTTATTGCACTGGATAGAGAGTTACATCCCTGGAAGGTCTCAGATGGTGCATTTGAACAACTTTAAATCTTCTCAAATCTTAGTATCATCGAGCATCACCAGGGCTGTCACCTGGGCCCCCTACTATTCAATATCTTTATCAATCACATGTTATCATCTTTTAAGCACAATTTTTTTCCTTCTTTTTGCTGACGATCTGAAACTGTTCCCAAGAATAATCACTCAAAATTACCAGTGGTAAAGAACTTATTGTACTTAATTATAAGGTTATAAGTTTCCATAAGTCTTGATATTTTGTGAGTTTTGCCTATTCCATTAATGGTAATGAATTGAGATCCGTGACTTAGACTTTTGTTGTCATAAAAACACTGTATTATTGCTATACTAGATCACATGTAGAATATGCTGCTTCAATATGGAGTTTCAATTACACCCGTCATATACAGCGGATAGAAAATGTTCAGCACGAATTCCGACGATACTTGAACTATATAACAATCAGGTATACTAATCTCCGCTCAGCATTACATTTAACAACTCTTGCTTGTCGAAGGAAACGGAGGGACTTAAAAGGAAATCAGAGAGTGATTAACTCTTGACTTGGAGGATTGGTCTACATGTTCTATCTCGAAATACACGTGCTACACGACCAATTAAACGACTTGTTTGTGCCCAGTGAGCCGTTGGCGCTTACTGTTAGTGGTCTATGTATAATGCAAGTATGATGTTGCCTGTTCTGTGCATTGTAATCCAATGTTATTTGTACTATAGCATATTGTCCAAGTGATATTTTGTGGTCAAAGGAATGAATACACATAGGTAGGTGATTTGCTTTTTGTTGCTTGGTACGACCAAGAAGCCACGAGGAGTGTTCTTTTAATTTGTAATCACTTTGTGAACTAAGATGTCGGCTTTTATTTTGGACTAGACAAGTCCTGAATATCACAGCCTATTATTTTGCCTCTTTTGTATTATTTTGTTATAACCTTTTATAATTCCATATTTTGTGAGCTTGCAATTGTTATCGCTCCTGACAAAATTCGAATTTTTAGTTTTTTCATTACATTGGTGTATACACCAAATTATAAAAAGTTGATTTTTTATTTGATAAATTACTGTAACACGGAAAAAAAATCTTTAAAATATGGTCAATAGTGTCATTCATATAATTGATTCCTTCAATAAAATAAATAACTAATACAAAATAGCTATAGGTGTATCAAGTGCGCAGGGTGACTCATTGTCGCACTAAGTAAGAAGTTGGCCTATCTTGCGAGAGCGGCAATGTCACTTTGCGCTCGATTTACATTTATAAATTTTTCTACAACCCTCTTTTTTATAAAAAAATGTCTACATCCGTCAAATAACCCTCAATTCCCACGTTTGTGTCAAAAATCGCAGATACACTATATGTTTCTTCATTACCGTAAGATGGAGTTAATAGAAACAGTTTTGCATGTTTTGTTGAATCAAATTTTAATAATTAATTTTTGTACACTGATTAATGCTCTATAACTTGAGTCCTAGATTATAGATGACGACTATTGAAATTTATACAAAAGTTGAGACCATAAAGCGTTTTCTTATTTTTTGGCCTTGTTTCTTTTTACTTGATGCTAATGGAAATGAACACAAATTCTTTGGTAACATTTTTCAATTATAAAAATAACAATAGCTAATTCTGAGCAAATTTATCAAAAATATAATTACCACTTCTGCAACATTTCAATTTAACCTAAAAAATGATCATTTAATTTATAAAATTCATAAAAGAGTTTTTAATTTAGGTTTAGGACATTTTTTGACATATGTAGAAAGACAAAAAACAAAGTATTTGTGAATAACAAATAGGTGATAATAATTTACCTTAGTTTGCTTACCTAACAGAAGATCTTACTTCATCTGTCAACAACTTGATGCAATTTAAAAATAATTGGAACACTTTGTCGCTCGGCGAGTGCAATGTTAAAAAAACGCTCGCTTCCCGGAAAAGTGCAACTTTGCGCTTTCTTATGGTTATAATTATTTCATTTTAGGAAAAAAATAATTTTTAGTAGATAATTCATTAAATTTAAGAAAATAATTAAAACAATAACAATAATTCTTTTAAAATTATCTGGATACTCGTTTAAGTTCTGCAATGCAAATTTATTGACAGGCTTGTCTTCTTCTCCAACAAAGTTAACTCGATTTCTGGGTCTTGTTTTATAAATTTTATTTTTTATCACTCGTCAAAAAGAAAAACCGAATGGTATAATATCATGGGACCTCAGATGCCATGGTTTCGTGAATGGATGCACCATGCAGCTGGAAATAGCTATCCTATCACACAAGGAAATGAAAATTTTCTGTAGCATCGAAAGAGTTCCACCATTGAAACAGTTAACTAAACAACCAGTACGCAATTTATTTATTTATTTATTATTTAGTCTCGAAAAATTCCACAGCAGACATTGATTTTATGGGATATTGATCTTACATCTCCAGTTTTAAAACGATACTACTCTATTGGTTTTAATTTAAAATTTTTGTTTCTAATTTATTGTTTATTTACTGTAGAACTAGGGCTTATTTTGAATGTAGAATGTGTTATGGTGTGCCCCACTAATAAAGCGTTGTATTTTAAATTATTTATTATTAAAATATGTTACAAAATTATATAATATAATATATATTTACAAGTGTCTTACGCTAACAATACGAAATTTCATGACCAACACAATATTCATTTTGGCACAATACCAACTTAAATTATTTAGATTCAAACAAATTAAGCTCGGTGAGATGTAAATTATATACTTTTTTTAATGTTAACATTTTTGTTTTCACCCCACCACACAAAAAACTTCCCATGACGCTACATTAATTACAATCCAAAATCCCAAAAATCTTATTTTAAAAGGCAAGTTTGAGTCAGAAATAAAACTTGTTATTTAAATACAATAATTTAAACAGCGTTTACCAATAAAATAATACCTGCTTTTAATGTTAACCAGGGCCATCAGGAAAAAGGCTATCATAAGAAGGAGGCAAATCCTTTTCTTCTTCAGCGGGCGGTGCGTTCGGCTGCGGATCAGTGGATCTTGCCAAACGAGCTCCCGTTTGTTCGCTAAGTTCCATTACCCGAGACTGTTCAAATTATTCGGTTTTTATATATGCCGTCAACAAAACTTTCGCGACTTATACTTTTTAAAAAGTTATCGGACATTACTTTATGCTTTAAAATGGAACACCCTGTATATTTATAGACTATAAATTTCGATTTTTTTAGCTTCTAAAAATTATTTAATAATATACACTTTTTCTCAGAGCCTAGATAGGAGAGGGTTTAATAAACAAGATTGCTTCTCTTATTATATTCTTGAATATTGCACAGAATATGCTGAAGACCCTGTACAATATGTGAAAACGCTAAATATAAAAGTTTCAGCTGTCTATACGGCCTATATTGCCATGTAAAAGAATCTGGCTTAAAAGTTAATGGAGCCCAACGTTCTGCGCCTTCATGTACAATTTTTTTTAGATTGCATAAACAATTTTCGAGAAAACGCCATCTTTACTTTTTTTAATACCCCCCAGCCGCCTCAATTTCAATAGGCTGCGTCAACGGAGCAAGCTTCATTTGTATGCCAAATTTCAACTCGATAGCTTCAAATTTCGGACACTTATCGTGTTTCATAGCAATGTCCAAAAAGACTTGAAAAGCGAAAAAAAAAAGATGGACACCGGGTTCCGATCGTGCAGAAAAAAAAATTGTTCGACCCTGATCATGTCTGTACCAATGGGGGTCCCATAGGACCTACCGTAGTCAAAATATAAATTTCGTTGCCAAGCGCGTATGCTTTCGAAAAATTTTATTTCAATTAAAGTCCAACCAAACAACAAGACAAACAAGGTATATACATGCAATTTTACCTATTCTAAAATAAAATAAAAATAATTTTAATATATTTAAAATATTTTGTTTAAAACTTCTGCCTTCAGAGCTTAACAGAAACTGAAAAAGCCGACAAGATGACTGGCGAAACGTCAGCAAGTTTGATACAACAACAACCGACGCAGGAGGAATACAGAAGTTTCATAAATAATATAAAATTCAAATAAACATAAAAAAATAAATATATTAGTTCAATCATAATTTCATAGAAAATTAAAAATAAACTTGCTAAATCACTTATCTAAAAGTGTTTTTGATTTTAATCAAATAAAGTTTCTTTTCCTAAAGGAGGCACAATTTGCAAAGTTCAGTCAACTTTTTACCTACTTCTCCTGCATTGAAGAATTTATTACAAAATTTTCATGTACATAATAAATCAAGTGTATCTTTTCATGAAAAGGGCTGTAAAGGTAAGTTTTCAATTATTCCAGATAGGATTTAAAGTTTACTTTTTGCTGTACAGAATAGCATAGAATAATTGCAGAAAATAAATACTTACATTCCGATTACTTGTAGTTTCACAAGGGTGAGCAAAATCCTCGGCCCAACAAAGTAATTTATGCTTCTTAAAAACCCAAAGACACAATATAAAGAATGTGAACAGGACGAAAATTGATGAAATTGATCCAATTATAACTTTACTTTCAGCGGACCATCTTGGTTCCACAGGTTCTTTCAACTAAAATGATACTATTTTGTTAAATCCCAAAACCAATAAGTTACTTTACTTCTGTAGAGCAACTCAATTCGTCTGTGCATCCGTAAAATGGACAATTAACAACACCATCACTGAAATATTCCTTGTTAATGCATACTTTGTCAAACTTTTCAATGCATGGCTTAAGGTTACTGGTGCGACGGTCCTCCTTATCAGAACAGTCTAAATACCAACTTATGTTTAGACTCAATATAGTAAAATATTAAAATTTACCTGCATAAGATGTGAAAACTATTTCAAACCCAGTGTGTTCTTCATAGGACAGTGGAATTTTGGAAATATGGATAACTGTGTTTAATTCCCCATCAGAATTCATATATGAACCGCGTAGAATTGGTAAATGACTAGTAGCATTTTCAGTAGTACCCATTGCTACATCTGCAGAAATAATATCACAATATCGATAAGGCAACATTACTTCCCTGCTACTGAATTCAACATAATCTATACATTCTCCAGTTGTAGAATTTCTTCTCAAATTCAAATGCTGAATCACTGCTAAAATACCTCCTCCTCTGTAAGAGGATTGCACTTCAAAATTGCAGTGATTATTTGCAGTCCATGTTATAGAATGTTTGTTTATAGATCTGCCTTCTTTGACAATAAGGCCATCAGTGCGAATTTTTCTTTTTGTTATGGGCGAACACAATTTGGGATCTTCTATATTAACTTAAATGAAACATATATTACGGTTTTTGAATGAAATTAATCGCAGTACCTTACGTATTTTGTAATCAGGTCTGCTTTGTTCGCTTACAACTATAAATAAACTAATTATTAAAATTAAAGTTATTACAGCTGACGAAAACATTGTCGCAAATCATGTTCTAATTATTCACGTCTACTTTTCGTAAAACCTCCACACACAATCATCTTCCCACATTGTTCATACAACAACAATTTATGGAATTACACATATTATAATAAGCTATTTCTAGGGAGGTTAGGTGCATAATGTGTCATTATATTCAGAGACGATAGAAAGGTTATTACAATTATTTAAACTAAAGCACGGTAAGCCAAGTTTATCGTATATCATCCTTGAATTTGTCTTTCCATTTTAACGTGACGCACAGTGTTACCTAAACTCTTCTGATAGGTGGACCACGTATACCCTGTACGAAAGTATCTTACTTATTTTAGTTTATATATATATATATATATATATATATATATATATATATATATATATATATATATGATATCCCGGAATATAGTGTCATCACATTTTTCCATCCGTGAATCAATACGTGAATATATATATATATATATATATATATATATATATATATATATATATATATATATATATATATATATATATATATATATATATATATATATATATATATATATATATATATATATATATATATATATATATATATATATATATATATATATATATATATATATATATATATATATATATATATATATATATATATATATATATATATATATATATATATATATATATATATATATATATATATATATATATATGTATATATATATATATATATATATATATATATATATATATATATATATATATATATATATATATATATATATATATTCACGTATTGATTCACGGATGGAAAAATGTGATGACACTATATTCCGGGATATCATCCTTTCGCTTGTTGAACTCCGACTGGAATCCTGCATCCGACTGCAATCCTGCATCCGACTGCAATCCTGCATCCGACTGCAATCCTGCATCAGACTGGAATCCTGTACGCTTGTTGAACTCCGACTGGAATCCTGCAGACGTTTCGCCAAAATCTCACTTGGCATCTTCAATGCTCGCGCTCCGAAAACACTTCGAACTCTGTAACAGTGATTCCAGTCGGAGTTCAACAAGCGAACGGATGATATCCCGGAAAAAAAATATATATATATATATATATATATATATATATATATATATATATATATATATATATATATATATATATATATATATATATATATATATATATATATATATATATATATATATATATATATATATATATATGATGACACTATATTCCGGGATATCATCCGTTCGCTCGTTGAACTCCGACTGGAATCCTGCAAATCCTGCATCCGACTGGAATCCTGCAGACGTTTCGCCAAAATCTCACTTGGCATCTTCAATGCTCGCGCTCCGAAAACACTTCGAACACTGAGCGCGAGCATTGAAGATGCCAAGTGAGATTTTGGCGAAACGTCTGCAGGATTCCAGTCGGATGCAGGATTTGCAGGATTCCAGTCGGATGCAGGATTCCAGTCGGAGTTCAACGAGCGAACGGATGATATCCCGGAATATAGTGTCATCATATTTTTCCATCCGTGAATCAATACGTGAGAATATATATATATATATATATATATATATATATATATATATATATATATATATATATATATATATATATATATATATATATATATATATAAATAGAAAAAATAGAAAAACAATACAAATGAAAAGAGTTAAGGAAAAAGTACACTTCTCACACGAAAGTGTTTGTGAAAAAACTGCATTTTTTTTCTAAAACCACTGAGGGGTACGTCACACCCGGTCGTCAATCTTTTTTCCTAATTTACCTTTCTTGATGAAATACAATGACGTTTCAACTAACTTTTTCGCATTCCAAGGTCTCATGTCAATTGTTCAAACGAATGACATAAGTAAGCTTGCTGTTACATCCGTCAATACGAAAGCCAACATTGGTGTGTCATGGAAACATTAGTACGTTGAGTAAATGGAAAAGATTTTTGGTTTGCGGTGTTATCATGATTATACTTCAAGAAATGTCTCTCCAATTGCGACGTGAATATTTATAGAAATTCGTAACGTAAAGAGAAACTTGTGCCTGACAGTTTTAAAAAATATAATGCATACTTTAAAAAGTAGCAATGTGGTAGTTTGGAATAATTTTTGAAAAATCGTCTTTGACGTATGTAGGGGGAAATACATTAACCAAATGTTTAATTTTGAAACTGACATAATGTCAGGGAAAACCACTATTAAAGGTAACCCCTCGCAATATGTGAAATTAAATGTCGGGGGATCTTTGCATTACACTACAATTGGCACTCTTACCAAACACGACACAATGCTCAGGGCTATGTTCAGTGGAAGAATGGAAGTGTTATCAGATTCCGATGGATGGATACTTGTTGATAGATGTGGTAAACATTTTGGAACTATCTTAAATTTTTTGAGAGATGGCACTGTTTCATTACCAGAGTCAAGCAAAGATATTGCAGAGTTATTAGCTGAAGCCAAATATTATTGCATCGCAGAACTGGCGGAATCTTGTAACAAAGCTTTGTCCAAGAAAGAAAAAGAGCATGAACCTCTGTGTGTAGTGCCTTTGATCACATCTTGCAAAGAGGAAGAATTTCTCATTAGTGCGACGACGAAACCAGCAATAAAGTTGCTAATAAACCGCCACAATAACAAATATTCCTACACATCTGCCTCAGATGATAATTTGCTTAAAAATATTGAGTTGTTTGACAAACTGTCATTGTGGTACAGTGGTAGAGTTTTGTTTTTCAAAGACGTCATAAGTACCAGTGAGATTTGCTGCTGGGTTTTCTATGGTCACAGCAAAAAGGTATCGGAGGTATGCTGTACTTCCATTGTGTATGCGACAGATAAAAAACACACCAAAGTCGAGTGTCCTGAAGCTCGAATATATGAGGAAACTTTAAACATTCTGTTGTATGAAAATAGAAATGCTCCAGATCAGGAATTGATGCAAGCAACCTCAACGCGCACAGCTGTGTCAGGGATGTCTTCTTACACTAGTGATGAAGAAGAAGAGAGGTCAGGAATTGAAAGACTGAGATCTAACAAGTCTTAAAGCGGTACCTGCATATTATAGTGTAGTGAAATATACTGTTCCTGATTTTTTTTGTTCTTAAATATACCTACTAAATTCTTTTATGCATTTCAATAGCTAATTTTAAAAACTATTAGTCAGTTATATAATTTAACGGAAGTGCTAATTAACAAAATGTTTCTGAGATTGGACATAAGGGTACTTTTTTATGAAATGAAAAGTGACATAAACAGAAATGTCAGCTATTTTGGATTTTTAAATACAGGCTGTTCTTGGAAATTTTCTATTTTTAATAATTAAAGGTTTTATTATAAATGCCCCTTGGAGTTTATAAAATTATTAAAAGTCAAAAAATACAACATTTTCAAAATCACCCTGTACCTAAAAATTCAAGATGGTTGGGACATTTTTGTTTGTGTTACCTTTCATTTAATAAAAAAGCCGCCACAATCTAGCGTCATTGATGAGGGAGACACGCCGGACAACCATCAAAAATAAGATTCACTGTACATTACTATTTCATATAATATGCAACTGATTAAAACTTTTCAAGGAAAATTAATTGCATTGAAAGAAAAAAGTGTTTGCATACTTTGTTAGGTAAACAATACAGGGTGTCCCTCTGAATAATATCCTATTCTTAAATTTCACCGTTCCTGAGATATTTAACATTTTATGTCGAAAAGAATCTGTACATTTTTGCCAATACTTAATCCTTTAAAATTTCACTCTATTAACATCCTTTGTCGAAAATGGTCTGTTCAACAAACTTAGTAATTTAGATTATTAATAATACAAGGTATTGAAAAAAAAAACAATGGAACCCCATTTTTTAAATCGATTTACGAATTCTGCATCAAATTTCACGCATAATTCATATAACTAGCATACATTATACCTATTTCTTAATTTCTTTTAGCCAAAGAATAAAAACCAAATAATTTAATTTTGAAATTGAACAGGCAAGTAGCTAGTACTAGTAAATTTCTTGAATTATTGCAATTACACTTCTGTCAGTAAAGAAAGTGAATTGAAATTTTAATTATTGGATATGAAAACAAAACGAGAATTCAGAAAGAAGTTTGTACTTTGCTTAACACAAAATATCCCGAAAGGGTGAGTAAAACAAACAAGATTGCTTTCGAAAAATCGTCTGTGAGCGGGGCAAGTTCGTCGCAAATAACTTATTTTAAAAAGAAGGCGCTTCGCGGATTCTTGTAGGGACGCAATGTTTTTCTATCACGCTCCTGCGGACCACTATGGAACTTTCGCAAAATCGATGTAATTTAATTGTGCCTACACCCTGTATAAAATGTCCTTCACCTCTCATAGAACTTCAAATTTACGGAATACCTCGGTAATATCAAAATTTTCAAATATCTTGCGTCCCTTGTATTATAGACGACACCTCAAACTCTCTCAACACAGTTTACGATACCGTTCATATCAAATTATCACATCTTTAAAAGTTTTTCATGTATCGCCAATAATTCACACACAAAAGCGGAAATTTCGGAGATCTATTAGAATTTTTTGCCCACAAACGACGTACCCTGTATATAATTCCAACAATGTTCGAAATAGCTCTGGATCTCCTTAGTTTCCTGGTATTCGAATTCAAAAAACTACTTGTTTTCTGAAACCATGCAGTACGTGGTAATTGTAAATGACGTCATCGCGTCTAGATTGAGGGCGAGAAGTGGTGATTTTCATTTGGATTTTTTTGAAATATCTCGAACAGCGTATGTAATACACGAAAACGGAAACACTGTTTGGATTAGCTATTGTTTGTAGGAATTTTGAGTTACGGTTAATAATTTACTCTCTAAAAGAATAATTTTCAGGGTCTTTTAGATTTTTGTCCATAACTAAAACACGTTGTATATAAACAAAATAATGCGTGAAACAAAAGTTATAGCGCCGGGTCTCCCACGTATTACGGATGAAACATTTTTCCGATCGGATGAATCGCTTTGGAGGAAAAGATGTTTTTCTCGATGCCAAAATAACCACAAAAAAAATTCAAAAATGAAAAAAATACTTCGCGTTATTTTATTGCCCCCAATTAAAAGAGTCTAAATGCGGCTCCAGACATCTACCTCTCTCCCAAGTCTGAAGTCGATAGCTGCAAATTTGGAGTATTTATCATGTTTTTTAATATTGCACGGAATATCGCGAACACCCTGTACAATACTTAAAAACCGCAAATACAAAAAGTTTAAGCTGTCTATATGGGCTATATCGTCATGTAAAAGAAACTGACATCTAAAACACAGATTTCAAATTATTGCCAATTTTCAATAATAAGGGGGCATTTTTCAGTTTTTTTGAATTTGCGACGCACCCTGTACATTCTTGAAAAATTGTCACGAATAAAAGTGTATAGAGTCGTATCTTTTGCTTCTTGTGGTTCAAGAATTTTGTTGGTCTCGTAAACAGTTTTTGAAAAATGATGTTTTTTGTAGACCCTTACACGCGCGATTTTTTATTTTTTTAGAATACTTCCCAACCCCCCCATTTTCATTACGGTTCGTCACGGGGCAAAGCCGCATATATGTGCCAAATATGAAGTCAATTGCTTCAAATTTCGAACACTTATCGTGTTTCATAGCAAGGTCCAAAAAAACAGTCGAAAATTGCGAAAAAAAGATGGATAACGGCGTCGGATCAGGGCCATTTCTTACAACCCGTGGAGGGTTGAAAAGGAGGCAAATTTCAATTTTGTAGCTCCAACAGTTCGAAGTTATTCAGGAAAAACCAAAAGTCGAGAACGGAGAACGGACAGAAAAAAAAAATATTTTTTTTCGATGGTGATCATTTCTGTACCAACAGCGATCCCATAGGACCTACCGTTACTGAGATATAAAATTTTTATACGAGCGCAGATACTTTCGCAAATTCGATTTCATCGATTTTCGAAATTAACAAGATTGCTTTCGAGAAATCGTCGTTGAGCGGGGAAAATTCGGAGAGTGTAGCATGGTCCAGATTTTAATTTCAAAAGGAATTCAATTCGGGGATTTTGTCCTTAAGGGACGCATTGCTTTTCTATCGTGCTCTTGCGGACCACTATGGAACTTTCGCAAAATCGATGTCATTTTATTGTGAATACACCCTGTATAAAGTGTCCTTCACATCTCTTCGAACTTCAAAGTTACGGCAAACTTCGGTAAATATTAAAATTTATACAAATAATAGCGTTGTGGAATGATATTTTTTCAAATATCTCACACGCCCTGTATAATTGACAAAACCTGAAACCTTCTCGACACAGTTTACGATACTGTTCAAATCAAATTATTCCATCTTTAGCAGTTTTTCATTTATCGCCAATAATTTACCCACAAAAATGAAATTTTTAAGGAACTTTTAGATTTTCTGTCAATAATTCACACACCCTGTATATAATTCAAACAATGTTCGAAATAGGGATGATAGCCCTGCATCTCCCACGTTTCCTGGTGTATGATTTTCAAGAAAATACTTGTTTTCCGAAACCGTGCATTACGCCGACCTCATCGCGTCTCGATTGAAGGCGAGAAACTGTGATTTTCATTTGGATTTTTTCAAATATCTCGAACAGCGTATGTGATAGATGAAAACTGATACAAACATTGTAGCTCTCGATGTGGCTTATTACACTGTTTAAACTAATTGGCCATATTTTTCACGAATTTTGATTTTCGGCTAATAATTTAATAGCGAAAAGAACGATTTTCATTTTCATTCTTTTAGATTTTTGTCCATAATTGAAAAACCCTGTATAGAATCGAAAAAATGTCTGAAATAAAAGTCATAGCCACCGATCTCCCGAATTTCCTGGTTCTACAATTTTTCTGATCGGTTGAATAGTTTTTGAGAAAATCATGTTTTTCTGGAAGCCAAAATATTCAAAGAAATTTTTTTCAAAATTTTTTAAAATATATTTGGTGATACTTGATTACGCTCAAACTCTATTGTTTAAATGTGGGTATGGACTTTTACTTCCTTGCCAAATTTAAAATCGATAGCTACATATTTGGGTCACTTATGACGTTTTGATACTCTCGAATATCCCGATCACCCAGTACAGTATGTGAAAACTTTAAATACATAAGTTTTAGCTGTCCATACGGGCTATGTAAAAAAAAACTGGCAAAAGAATCGCAGCCTTCTTATGGTCAATTATCATTACTAAGGGAGGCCAATTTTCAGTTTTTTGCAAATTACCGCCGCACCCTGTACATTTTTCAAAAATCATCAAGAATAAAACTTTTTGATCCGGATCTTGCGCGTCGTTTGGTTAAAGAATTTTTTTGATCGTATGTACCGTCTTGGAGAAATGATTTTTTTCTCGATACCCTGCAAGTGCGGTTTTTAATTTTTAAAAAATACTTCTCGACCCCCCAGCCCCCCCAGTTTCAATAGGCTTCGTTACGGAGCTAAACTCCTATATATGTGTCAAATTTCAAGTGAATGGCTTCAAATTTCGGACACTTATCGTGTTTCATAGCAAAGTCCAAAAAACAGATGCAAAAAAAAAAAAAAGATGGACGCCTTGATTTGATCAGACCCATTTTTTACTGATTTGTGTACCTCGTGTACGGCTTAAAAGGAGACAAATTTGAAGCACGTGCTGTAAACCGTTCAAAAGATATAGCCAATTAATGCCAGGTCTACAGAAAAAACAAGTTTTTTTTTTCGACGCTGATCATTTCTGTACCAATGGCGAATAGTTCCAAAGAAAACACTTAAAAACTAAAAGCAAAAGTGCAAAACAAAAAAATAACTCTTTAATTAAGTTTCATTTTATTGATTCCTTCGATCCATTCCGTAACTATTGGCCAGTATTCTCTAGCATTTCACGACTAACTCTTTGAAAAACTTCTCTTATCCTTTGTTTCATGTCCTCCTTTGTTGTGGGGACAGTTTTATACACCTCGCCTTGAACATATACGCACAAAAAAGGGTCCATCTTGTTTGTTAGATCGGGAGATCTAGGTGGCCATCCAATCGGACCATCTCTTCCTATCCACTGTTGAGAAAAGAAATTATTTTAGTAATTTGTAACTTGATGGTCATGGCGTGTCCGAGCTTCATGAAGAATCCACATTATCTGCCTCAATTCGCTTGGAATATTTCTTAACATATTTTGCCACCTCTGTATTTTCAACAAATTGAGGCCCTGCAATGGTATTTCCTATTACACCAACACAGTCATTTAAAGACCATTTTTCCTAAGTGTGCGTCGTCATAAAATGGGGTCTATTCTTTTCATTGATTTCTTGATGAATAGTCACAGAAATCTTAGAAATGATTAAGTCTTGGGACCTTTGTCGTAGTATCTACTAATGCAATAGTATACGGGGTGTTCCATTGAAACAAAAAGTTTTCCATATATTTACGAATCACCTCATCTGAGAATAATTTTAAATTGTTTTTTTTAGTTTTATCCATAACTGTTGTACTTAACGTTTATTCCAAAACAAACAATAAATGAGATAAACTATTTTGACACACTACTTGGATACCCTGTATAGTGTGTGAGTGAGGCGGAGTTAAAGGACGGACATGAACATTGTCTCGCATGACTGATATTGGTGAACGATCTAAGTCGCGATTAAGATTGTTTGGTTGTTTATAGATTTCTATATTTTTTCGGATTTTTCTTTGGTGGATTTAATGATTCCGTGCAAGAATTTTAGTTTTATCAAATAAAATTTGATGTGCTGATGAGTTTATTTGCAGTATCCTTAAGGATCTTTCATGTTCATTGACTCTAGTTGATATTTTTTGTCATGTCCCTCCAGTGAAATGCAGTGCGGAACTGACGAATCAAAGATGTGGAGAGACTTTTGGACAAGTGTTAAATTTGGTTTTGACGTTATATTTCTTAAGCAATTTTGAAATATGGTCAGGGATATTTTGAATTTAAATACCTCTATGATAAGTTGCTATCGGACTCATTTACTTTGGGAATTTATGGTGAAGTGTATTTTGTTGAGATCTAAATAAGTTAACAAGATGATTGGCGAAACGTCAGCAAATTCGATTTATCAACATCTGACGCAGGAGAAATCCAGAAGATTTGTAAATATTTGTAAAAATGTTCAATTTTTACTTAATTTCTTTTTTTTTTCAAGATCCTGTATAAAAAACACTATCAAAATTTGTAATTTGGTCTGCAAACGCTATTTTTAACATAAATAGGTCTAGAACTTTACCGGTAATCCAAAAAATCCATTACATTTCATTTAAAATAAGAAAGTTGAGATCCAGTTGCAGTATTTCTATCTTGAAAATATTTTATCCGAATCGTCCCCACCAAATTTTCAAATTTTCTACTTATTGAGTTCCGGTAACGGATCGACGAAGTTCCTGATGTGGTGGGTGTGGAAAATTTGATTTGATCACACCAATAAATTTATTTGATTTGAAATAAAACTGCGGTTAGTATAAAAAATATGTATTAAATTTACATCAGGAATTCATGTTACAAAATCAAACATTATAACTACAAGAAAGAAACATATTGATACAACACAAAAAATATTGCGTTCAAACATTTTTTCCCATTATTGAATACAAAATTAATGAACAATTTTAACAAACTAATAGAGATGAGAAAATGTATTCTAACCCGAACTAAAGAATACACAATGATAATTGCGAAGGCTAACACAAATTTTAAGTCCTCAAAATTAGGTCAGGTACTTTCTAGCCTAACGGTTTTACAAAAACCATAACTTGTCCGCTAGCTCAGCGCTAGGTTTCGTCTTTACATGCTGACCCACCATGGCGGCTAATTTGTGCGCGTACTGACATGGGGCGGGCACCCTTATGGTCCCTGGCCAGTTGTAATACAAGTGGCACAGCTTGTAGCACAACCTTTGTACGTAGTCGGGTTTCAGTTTGCACGTATCGTGAAGTACTACAAAAAAGATCAGTTAGATTGAGTGGGGATATTTGGAGGTGACATTTCTTGAAAATATGTATGAGAACAAAAAAAAAAAGAAAAATGTTTATTCTTGAAACGGGAGAATAGAACTGAACAAAGTTCAAAAAATTCTCAACCTGATATAGAGAGTGTTCAAGATAAGGAAGTCTATCATGGAGATAATGGAAACCATAACGATGGTTAAATTTAAAAAAGTTGCAAAATTAAAAGCTTAATAAAGTACTATTGTTAAAACTAAAAAATTCCCAACACTTCCGAAGATACGCCAAAAAAACTTGAAATTTTGCCGATTTCGTTTTTATTTTTTTTTCTGGTGTTATTTAAAGAGACATAACAAAAATAAGTGTATCCAAGTAAAGTGTATCCATCGCTTACAATAAAATGTATTATTAAATCTATTTTTATAACTAAAAATTTGTTTTGAAAAAAAAAGTATATTATGTTTTTATTCAGTATTTTGTGCAATTTTATGATTTAATGTTGGTTGCTCTAGTAAGTTTTGTCATTAAAAAATGTCTAAACTCTACCCACTCAAATTTTTCAAAGAAAATTCCACAGGTTACTGTAATACTTTTTATAAAACTTCCGGATCCCTCCTGCGTCGGTTTTTGTTGATTCGAACTAGCTAACGTTTCGCCAATCATCCTGTTGGCTTCTTCAGAGCTGAACTGAAATTAGCTCGCATTTTACTCTGTACCTGCTTTTATACTGTGTGAGGGGGCGGAGCTAAATGATGTCATTCGAGACGGTGCTTATGCTCCTCAATTAGCTACGCGCTGCTCAAACAATATATTTTATCAAACATTTGATAAAGACAAAATATCTAATTTCGTGAAAATCTGAACTTTTAGTTCCTACTTATTTTGATAAATGGATTTTCATCAAGTAAAAGCCACCTCAGTTCAAGTATAAGTTTGTAGAGCTCAAAAAGGGGCTACGAGAAAGTGACCTTTAATTTTTTTTTAAATTTTTAAATACCACCCTCAAAAAATAAAAATGATATCGTTAAATTTTTGCAACTTTTTTCTAATTTCCTATTCGTATTTCTTAATGTTTCCAATATCCCCATGATAGATAGATATTCTTATCTTAAACACACTATATATTGTTCTAGGATTTTTGATAGTCAACTGACCAAAAAAACCTGTATGATTTTAGCCTCAAATTTAGTGGCATACACATAAGTTTATGTATTTATTTGCACTTTCAGACACACACACCCATTCGGGATAAACTCGCAACAGTCTGTCTCTCTCTTTTAAAAATAAACAGAATTAACAATTAATACATAATCTGACATCAACAAAAGAAAGAAACAATGCAAAGGTGCGTAAAAAAAATACAAATACTTTAAACTTAAAAAGGGTATTAAACACAGGATCCGCAAAACCACTGCTAAAGCCAATATTATAAATAAAGAAGACGAAAAAAATAGAAAAAGCATTTAAAAAGAAAAATAAAAGTGGAAACTAAAATAAGTGTCAATTTTGTATATTTTCAAGATTCCTGATTAACAACCGCAATCATGGTTTTATTATCCATAACACAGGTCTACAGTGTTTGCTTATTTGTATATTTTTGGGGATCCTTTTTCCTAAAAACGATATATTTTTGCTCTATTACGTCATTTTTTTTATAACGCTCTGTACCATAAAAAATGTGATTTTATTAATATACATATCTATGACATGAAAATGTTTTTTCTATGTTAGGCATGATTTTTAAATGAATTGATTTTTCAAAACTGGATAATATTAGATTTCTCTGCAAAGCAACAGAGTTGGGACAGAAGCGTTGCAACCTGCTTATGCGCAGTTGTTGGTTGTATTGGTAGTCGTGCTACTGTGTTCGAAGCTGTTGTCTAAAAATTGGCAACTAAGACAAGTCCTGAGCTCCTCATAGTGTTTGTTTCGTTTGCGTTGAAGCACTAAGAAACCGTTTGCGTTGAAGCACTAAGAAACTGGCAAAAAGGTAAGAAATGTTTAAGCTTTTTTTGTTCCAATGGTATGGCGAGAGCCTAGGAATCACAGTGATGATTGTTATTAGAAGAAACAAATTGAGTATCCCAATCTTGACTGTGCTATTCGACGAGTTCCCCATGGACCAGATGTACCGATACCTACTGCCCCAAAAGAACTAGAAAACGCAATATCGTCAGAATCCGAGAAATTTTATTCCGACCTGGATGACTCAGATTTCACACCAGATTTCAGAGAGCCCGAAGTGATTAACCAGAGCGAATTAAAAGATTTAATTAGAGATTTGCACCTTCCAAAGGATGCATCCGAATTGTTAGCGTCCAGACTTCGTGACAAGCATTTACTTGCACCTGGCGTCACAACTAGTTTTTACCGGGATGGCGAAAAAGATTATTGTCAATATTTTACTCAGGAAGGATCGCTAGTGTATTGCAACAATATTCCTGACTTGAGTTTCATAATTAGGAAATGTGCCCTATATAAATGAAGAATGGCGCCTGTTTATACACTCAAGCGTATTTCAAAAACGCTTCGGTTCCCGTTGCACATTCGGTACATTTGTGGTGAACTTAAAGTGCTGTGCATGCTCATAAGACAACACGCGATTATAAAAAATGTCCATGCTTTATTTGTAAGTCGTTTAGTCACGCAAGAGACCCACAATGGACTCAAATAGAATGGCCCTCTAGAACAAGCCTTACACCTGGTAGCAAAATAGATAGCATAGTTGATCCCAAAAAAGTTTTATTGCCTCCTCTACATATCAAACTTCCTTGATTAAGCAGTTTGTTGAAGTCCTAGACAAAAATTGACATATCTGATGCCAAGATAAAAGAAGGTATTTATTGGGCCGCAGATAAGAACATTATGCAAATACAAGGATCTTCAAAACGCAATGACCAATGTCAAGAAAAACGTCTGGGCTTCATTTAAAGAAGTAATTGATAAGTTTCTTGGGAACTCTAAGGACGAAAACTACGAAAGTATTGTTCAAAATAGGTTACAACGCTTTCATCGTCTAAGTTGTAATATGAGTTTGAAAGAACATTTCCTGTTTTCACATTTGCACTAAGAACAGATACCAAGGTAGATGGAGCATAAGGATGATGGCGGACTACTGATGGATGTTAAAACGGGATGAATATGCCCTTAAAAACACACGTATGAATGTCCGGAAAAAGATTTCACTCAAAAAAGTTTGAGTAAAGTTTTTTCTTTTCACTTTTTTTAACTAGGATTCCACATTTTAGAGAATAAAAAAATAATTTTTTTTTGATTAATCGATTTTTTCTCTTTAATATTTACAAAACAACTAACGCGATACAAATAAATGAATAAAATTTTTGAAATCAGCCTACCAAAATTATATAAAATCAGTTTTCAAAATAAAACCATCTGTCAAAAAGGTTAATTTTGTAGACCTGTGTAATTAATAATGTAATAAATAGGCTACTCACACTAAATTAACACATTACACACACGTACATTCATTTAGGACTACATATTTTGTAATTAAAACAGAGTATGAATGTAAATTCATTCAATATTCATTAATGTTTGTTTAATTATCTCAATGTAATACCATTAAACCATTATCTTTTCTTTTTTTTTAATATTTTATAAATTACTATATTGAAAATATTGAATTTTTAGGCAACCTTCGTATCTCAACTATTATTATATTTGTATTGTATATATTATTGTATTATATTATTTTTGAAAGACAATTTAATATGCTGTAATATGAATTTAAATCGATTAAAATTTATTTCTGCCTTTTAGGTTAGCATAGCAAAATAACTTCACGAGTCAAATTAACTAACTGAAGTAAGTTGGGGACCAATTGCAGTTGTTTTGGGGGTCGGATTATATTCCTTCAGTCTTCTTCTCACTGTCCACTAATAGTCACTCTTCGAACTTCATAGAGCTGTTGTTGCACTTGAACCGCATTAAGGTAACAATTTAATATTGTTGTTGACACAATAAAGCGGTCATCACGAGCAGTTATAATTCGCCTTCTGCCTGTTCCACAGCGCCTAGCAAAGGATTCAGTCTTCTCATACTGTTGGCATACCCTTCACACTTTTGCACGTGTCATATCCAGTTGTCGAGCAACAGCTCGCTGGCGAAGTTCACTTTCGATTAAAGCGATAACTCGAGCGGTTTTTTGCGGTGTAGTATGCATCAAGCTAACGCTATTAAACACTATCCACATGGTTAAAAACGAATAATGTGCAAATTTCAGTTTCAAAGGCGATTAATTTAACTCTATAACAAGTTTGTTACTATCACTATAACTACTGCATGGACACGCTTCATTTCTTTAACCGTAACCCCACAAATAAGAGATCAGCACTCTTGACAAATTTAAACTCGGACTAAAGCATATTTAATTGTCTTCCAAATACCAAGTTTATTTTTTGGGTCAGATGAATAGAAAAAATGACTTCTATGCACGCAAGTTTAGTAAGTTTATTCTTTTGGTATCTTCATTTGATTCACTTCGATCTTTTAATATTATAATGGCAGCTTTTGAAAGTAAGCTATGAAAATTTGTTCAGAAGCGTTCTAAAACATACAGCACATAGAGACCTAGAAATCCTTGGGGAAGTTATTCCAGAAGTGCTGCAAAATATTCCACTGGCCCAATATAATTGTTTTTAACTAACTAAATATGGTCCCTCTGGGCTCCTAAATTATTTACCTTCCCTCAAAGATGGATAGCGACCAATGGACCTATTGACCTCCGCGATGTCTCTGTTTTTTTTTATAACGGGCTATATACAAAATGAAGTATATAAAACACTATCTGACAGCGTAACAGTCGCGTAACATTCCAATTTTGTATTACAGAAAATGAAGATTATTTTTTTTATAATAATGTAGTTTTTTAGTGTTTTGATATATTGCTACTTTATGATATAAAGTTGTTGTTGAAAACTTAGTGTTATTATAAAAATTTAAAAGGCATCTAATTCCTCGTTAGCAATATCTAACTTTCAATTTATTGTTATTATTATTCATGGCCGTCTAGTAAACATAAATTGTCATTAATTTGCTTGTTTAAGAAAAAGTGCATATGATTAAATGTTGTTGAAAAGGTAAAAAAAAAAATTTTGTATTCTTTAAATGTAGTTTGAAAAAAAATAGTTTATACATTTTCGTAGGTTGAGATACGTTGAAAATGCAATATTAATTTATTTTGTAATAGAATTATAATTTTTCTAAGCTTGAAGGACAAAAAACATTTGAAAGAAAATACTCAATTTCTAAGGCTGTGCGTTAATATTTGATGCGCACTTTAATAACATTATGATATACACTCACCTATATAGTGGGTTGGGTTAACTGTTCCTTGCCTAACACTCTGTGGCACCATGAAGAAGTCGTACAGATATTTTCTCGTCACGGTGTGATCTAGAATCGTGCCTGGTGGTGGATTTTCCGGTTCGCCTGCAATGTGTAAAAAACGAAAAAAAAAAAGAGTAGACAGGATAAATGGCGAATGCATGACGCTAAAACATAATTAGTGGCTTCGACCGCTTACCGTTTCTGTCGAAACTGAACATCCTGGTGTTGATACGCTTCTGCACCACCACGAAACAAATGGTCGTCGACAGCCCAAATTCTTTAATTACATTTTCGAACTGCTCCACCTCGTATCTACGACAGTAATCTAGCTGTCCGTCGCCCACTCCGTCTCTAATGATTATTACTTTCGCGGGAAAATTTCCCGTGCTGTCTTTGTACTGCTCCAGAGACTTGGTGAAGGCCACCTTGAAAAAATCGCCCAGCTCTTTGCTTTGGAATAAGGCTGTCGAGTACCACCTGCAATACGCATTTAAACGAAAAAATAATGGTTTGCTTTCGGTAGCAATTTTAGTTCAAATATTGAATATTGAATTCAAGTGCAGAGGGGTATCTTCAACCAATTTAACATCGCTTTGAGAAATCCAGAATAATTACAAGAATTCCTTACAGTTGGTGTTATTATCTTGAGTAGAATTTTTCAAGGAGACTCCCTTTCAGCATTATGGTTTTGTCTGTGTTTAGATCCTCTATCACGCGGCCTAAATCGGATATGAAACTACCATTAGAGCAAATCGACATTCAAAAACTATAAGGCATCTAACTTAAAACTCCCGTGGAGCACAGATATCGGTATGTCATTTGGTATGAAGAAACGCGATACTGTATCAGTTAAAATGGAAAGCTCAAAGAAGTAGAAACTATAATAATAATAATAATAACAAAACTTTCAGGGATTTTTGACCTAAAGGAACACTTACATGCCTCTAAAAAACCAGCCAATGGAGCCTATGAACTACCGACCAACAACTTGTTGCTATCTACAAACTGTTTATATCAATCATTAGCAACAAGACATATGAACATTGCGTTACTAACAACATGCTAGAGCAGGAACAAAAGGGTTGTGTTGGAGGATTCATGGGTACGAAGCATAAATTAACAATAGATGCGATATAAGAGAAATGTAAGCATGTGTTACATAGATTACGCTAAGGCGTTTGATTGGGTTGCTCATGAATGTTTGATCAACTTTACAAAGTGTGTCCAACACTAATAAATACGCTTAAACATGTCATGGGAGGATGGAGGACTAACATTTTTGTCAACAACAACAGAGCAAGAAAAGTCAGCACCTCCAGAGGTTTGTTTCAGGGAGACTCCTTGTCTCCACTATAGTTTACCTATTATTAACCTAAACCAAAACCTAAAAATTGTTCTTACAATCTCCAATCAGTTCTAAAGAAATTTAATTCTTTGACATTTATCAATCTGATACACCTTGTGTCAAATACAACAATCCACTATACGATCTAGAAACCCATAGGAGATACGAAAAAAAGTTTCTTGGGCTCTCCTGAAGATTTAAAATGTTATAATTTTGTTGATACAGGGTGTCCCAAAAGTGTCCCCTCCGACATCAATTTTGTTATTTTAAACGGAACACAATATAGACATTTTTGGAATCCTTGGTTAAAATAAAGGTCACCTTCTTAAGAAATTCCTATTCGAATTTTGCATAGTTTAGGCAGAAATCGAGATTATGTGTTTTTTTTAATATTTTGATTGCCCCATATAAAATTGTGTTGTCACGCTACTGATCCAGGTATTCTCACGACAATTTAACCACAGACTAAGGAGATGATGATGCAATACTCAATCAGTTTGAAAGATGCGCCTCAGCTTATACAAGGTGCTCCAAATAAGTGGTGCCGCTTTGGCAAATTCAATTAACAAAATCTCAAGATTTTGAAATGAAACACCCTATACTTTTATTCAGATATCAATCCAAAGATAAAAAATAATGTAGATTTGTAGTTTATCTTATATCTAAATTTTTCCTACCTTTTGAGATATTCGAGATTTAAGGTAACACCCGTATAAATTCTTGTTAAATTTAAAGCTGCCCACATTAGGTCACTTGTTGGCAAGGTATTTTTTAAATAGCAAACATCTTACCTCTTTGAAAGATATAATACTCCAGATATATGAATACAACCTATTGCTCACAATACAGATTTAATAAAACTTCAGAATTCATATTTAAGGAAACATTTAATAGTTAACTATCTAGCTTGATTGAAAATACCAAACAACAAAAACACATAATTAAAGTTTATAGGCTAACTAATCAAGTTAACAAAATCGAATAAATAAATCCATAAAAAAAAACGTTAAATAAAAAGTGTTCGTTAATTCGGTCCATAAAGTTTAGTTAAAAATGTTCCTCTTAAAATGCTCGTTTCATCTGGCACCAAAACATCAAATAAATATCAAAATATTTAAAAATGTAGTTGGCTATGACATCCCAATCTTTTTTTTCTGACGTATTAAGGTATAAACAAACTTTGACATTTCTGTTTGTTTTTATTGTTTCTTATATTTCTATTTAAAAAGTTCATAGTTGTCAAGTTTTTTGTTAGTATATATTTTATTTATATTTTAAATAAATTCTAGTTTTTTGGTTAACCTATAAAATTTAATTATTTATTATTATTAATTATTTATTAAGAAAGATAATTAAATACTAAATGTTTCTTTAAATGTCAATTCTGAAGTTTTATTAAATTTGTTAAAATGTATGATTTTTCTCAAAATCTCCACGTATTAATGGACAACCTAGCAATAGGTTTTATTCGTATATCTGCAGTATTAGATCTTTACAAGAAGTAGTATCATGTCCTTACTATTTAAAAAATATATAATATTGCCAACAAGTGACCTAATGTGGGCAGCTTTAAAATCAATAAGAATTTATACGGGTGTTATCTTAAAACTCGAATTCCCCCCCCCACCCCCCAAAAAATTACAAACTTACCTTGTTTTTTGTCCTAGAAATGATATCTGAATAAAAATATAGGATGTTCCATTTGAAAATCCTGAGATTTTGTTAATTAAATTCGCTAAAACGGCATCACCTATATGAGACACCCTGTTTAACCTGAGGCGCATCTGGCAAACTGAACAATATGGTTAATATGACAGCATGCAGAGAATTATTATTATTATTTCTTACTTAAGTAATTGTCTGTTTTATTAAAATACTACGAATACTACTACGAAATACTACTACTACTACTACTAAGTACGAATACGAAGTATGTAAACTCTGTGTATTTTTGAAATCTTTATAATGATCTCTTATTATTGTAGTAGGCTGTGTCTGTAAGAATTATTAATTCTGTTGTCAATGCGGTTGTTTGACATCAGTTTTTAAAATCAGTTCTTCGCGTCTTATTAATTTGGTGTTTAAAATATCCGAGCATTGCGATTTTAAAAAAGAATGGTCGAGTTTACCAATGAGGATTTGGTAAATATCCAGGGCAAATAATCATTTAAGAGTGGCCCATCAGACTTTAAGAACTCCAGAAATTGAAGAAACAGTTTTAAATTCTATTGATAAAAATCCTGAACTTAGTACTAGAAAAATTAGAAATTATCTGAATATTTCGCACGCATTCGTTTAGAAAATTTTGCACGATTTTCTATTGCACCCATATCATATTCAACGAGTCCAAGCGTTACTTTCCAAAGTTTTTCGCTTGCGTCTTAATTTTTGTCAATGGTTTTTGGACAAAATTGCGCATTATCCCTTGTTTCCGAAAAATTGCGCATTATCCCTTGTTTGATCAAGAAATGCTATTTAAAGATGAAGCTAACATTTCCAGAAATTTCTATAATTACCATATTTGGGCAGATGAAAACCTCCATGAGGTTGTAAAATTTAAATGAAGAATAGTTTTCGGTAAATGTTTGGGTTGGAATTGTTGAATATTAATTAATTGGACCCTTTTTCCTACCAAAAAGGCTAAATGGCCATAATTATCGCCGGTTTTTAGAAGACGATTTGCCAATATTGCTATAAGAAGTACCACATTTAATTATGAAAAGAATGTGGTTCATCCATGACGTTGCGTCTGCTCACTTTAGTGGTGCAGTAAGAGAATATATAGAATAGAATAGAACATATCATGGCGTGCTATCAAATGCTGCGTATCTCAAATAATGCATATCTTGGTCTTCATAATCATCATGCGGCTGCGGACGTGCGTCTCTTATTATAAATACCAAGCTTGTTGAAGGCTCCTAGAGCTGTGCTCTTCTAGGATCACCCTATGACAATAGATTGGACTATTGACTGCAACAGGCCGGATAGAGTGCTCATTCACAAACAAAGAACGATTGGAATTTTAATAGATTTTCCTGCACCTGTCTCCCACAACATTGCGAAAATAGAACCAGAAAAGACTAGAAAATATGAAGTCTTGGCTATTAAAATCAAACATGTTGGGCAGTTGTATTAAGTTGGATTAAGCACAAATACCGCTTCATACGGACAAAAAGCAGTCTTACGATCCAGATTCCACTAACCTTAACAACTTAAGTTGTGCAGATGGTTCATTTTAGTTTTGTTTAGCTGTGAGGAGTTGGAGGTAAACCATCCACGTGATCCAGTCTTGTTGATCACACTATCAATACTAAGTTGATCTATTTCTAGCTCGAGATAAGAGAATTGTATCATCCTCGTAGAGCGTAGTACTACATAGTATGTGGGAAAGCAAATAGTTGATGTAGGGGCCCAAGTACCAAGCCCTGCTAACAATTTCTTGAAATCCAATTTCCAATTCTGCATAACATTACCACATCATCACAAATTTCAATACAAGATCCACAGTGAGTAAATTTGTGATAAAATAAAAACTCTTCTGAAGTAGCTTCAAATAATGATGTTAGCCAACGAAGAGCTTTAATTGATTCATTCCATCATTCATCTTTTCATTGTCAAATACTGTTTAGTGATCAAGCCACGTTTTGTTTCAATGGTATGTTCAATAAAGAAATTTGTAGGTATGGAACAAAATTATTGGATCTCATTTCTTTGTTCAAAATCTTACCTTATCCTTCTTTAAAATCACTTAATCAATTTGGTCGACAAATACGTGAATATTTAAGTACAATATTACCTGGGCAGTGGATTGGTAGAAGAGGATCAATAGAAAGGCCAGCAAGATCTACAGGTATTACTCCACTGAATTTTTTTTTTCAGGGATATTTACGTTTACGTTTCTCGTATTTAAATAAGCGTATAAGGAAAAGCCACAAAATTTAAAAAAAAATGATTTAAAAATTAATTAAAATATCCTGAGTAATCTTTTTGAAGGGATTTTAAACCAATTAAACCAATGGCATTTTAAACACCTAATAAAATAATTTCTTTTACATGTACGGTTTCTATACATTTTCAGATATAGGTAAGAAACTGAAATATCCAACCCTCAACTATGCCACACAATGATTCTCTTGTAATCCGTTGACCCATTTGCGCAAATTAATTTTATTGTCTTTCTAACTATGTAGGATGTTTCAAAACAATTGCTTGTTTAAAATAAAGGGTAGTTTGTTATATAAATGTTGGGTCATTGAGATATATTGAAATATGTTGCGTTACAAGTATAACGGAAAAGTGGTCTTTTTATTCTTTAATCTTAAAAACGAAAATAGCTGGAACAATAAAATATTACATGATAATTTCTATTATAAAAACACACTGTTTACAAAATTTCTGGATTTCTCCTGTGTCGGTTGTTGATAAACAGAACTTGCTATTGAACTAATAAGGAACAAAAATATGGTAAACAAACAAAATCAACAAACAACAAAACCAATAGGTACGTTAGCAACGTAGCTACCATCACCGCAATAGAACATTGTGCAAGAGAAATGAAAAAGATTCAGCTTCGTAATAAGACGATTCATTCCGACAGTCAAGGGATAATAAAACCTATGCTATCCAGCAAAATAACATCCAACTTAATACTGGATTGCTATAAGACATTAAACGAGACAGCAAGTCAGAATAAAGTGATGCTTTCATGGGTATCAAAGCACAAAGAACACGAAGGTAACGAAAGTGCCGACGAAGTAGCCGGTGAAGGATCGTCAAGGTGTAGTATCGGATGAGCGGAGTGACCAAACCCGTTGGAAAATCAGCCATCACACAATGAATGAGAAGAGAATTCCGGCAATGGTGGAAATTTACAGAAGACCTGCGAAGCTACAAAAGAGAAGTCAGAAGAATAACAGTAGGTCTATTGACGGGCCACTGCTGGCTTAAGAGACATCTAAGCCTAATGGGAGTGAAAGAAACCACTTAATGCCGATTCTGCCAAGAAGGCGTGTTTTAATCTGCTGGCGGTAACCAAACCAGAGGCAATGAGCTACACCAAGGAGCCACTATCAAAGTTCTGGAGTCTTCGCAGCGACGAACGGGAAGATTGTTGGCTCTCACAATCTGGAATCTAATCGAATCTAACGCTACACGGGTCAGTTTTACGAAAAAAATTATTAATTAAGTATGTATGTATGTATGTATGTATTAAATGAACATTTGGCAAATATTTTTTATTTATAAAGAAATCAGTGCCTTATTTTTCGTTTTTAGAAAAATATGAAGTCGAAACCCCATTGGTAATGAAAATATCACACAAAATGAATTTTTATTCATTCATTCCACTGGAAATCTATGGAATTTCAGTGAAATAAAAATAATCCCCTTACGTTTCTCGTATTTGCAACACCCTTCTCCGAGATTAAAAAAAAAAATTACCTTGAAATACTGTCATTCATGCTGGTTACGAAACCACACACCGAATTTGGAGGCGAACCGTGATAAACGTCGATGCCGCATATCATCCAGCCGCTGAACGGAAACCGGGCAGTCCACAGGCTTCCGCCAAGTTTGCAGTTAATTTGCAAAGCGATCTTCAAAATAATCGAACGAACTTTGTCTGGTTTGGACAAGGTCCTCGAATTGATGACTTGCGACGCAACCGGCAACTGGGCGCAGCAAAGTTTCTTTATTACGGCGTATCGATCGCTTCTCATGGACGGACAAATAAATACGGCAACCTGCAAAATCATTTCATTCCACATTCGAATATGATAGATGAGAATGAATCGTACACAACAACCAGAAAAAATAATTGTTTGGGCGTGGGTTTTGAATAATAAAATTATAGGACCTTATTTCTTCAGTCCGGTGGTTACGATGCAATTTCTTAATGGATTTTTAACAGATAAAAATGTATTTTTAGATTGAAATTTTTTTATGGTGCAGTTTTTTCGAGTAAAATGGACTTGATTATTTTGGTCAAATTTTGTTTTTACAAATTGTTTAAGTTTTGATACAATAAACTATACTTACTATTTACAAATCTTCTGGATTTCTCCGGCGTCGGTTGTTGATGAATCGAATTTGCTGACGTTTCGCCAATCATCAAGTTCGATTCATCAACAAACATACGTAGGAGGCTTCTCGAAGTATCCTGTGGAAGTTTATTTGAAAAAGCTCTCTTTGATATTCAGACATTTCAATGGCTATGCAAAAATAACAAAGTAATTACATTAGTAAATATTTAATTTTAAAAATGTATTAACTTTGGACAAATTGTTCATTGCCTTGTTTTATAATAATTTTCGATTTCCTACTTACAAAACTCTGAAAAAGTTCTTCAGAGCTTAACTGAAACTGACTCGCATTCTATTCTATATATTGCTTCAGGGGGACGGAGCTAAACGTTGGGCATGAATTTTGTGTCGGATGACTGATTCCACTATTTTGGTGAAAGGTAAAGGCCTGAGTCGCGGTTAAGATTGTTTCATTGCTTACAGATTTCTATGGATTCTCGGATTTTTCGTTGGTAGAAAGATTGATTACATGCTAGAATTTTAGTTTTAGCGAATAAAATTTTATGTCCGCTTTCATGATTGTGTGCGGCAACTGCTGCTGCTCTTTCATGTTTTTTGGGCCTAGTTGATATTTTTCGTCTTGTTCCTCCAATGTATTTTTTGCCGCATATAAGCTCTAAAGAAATCAACAGAAATTCTGTAAATAGTATTACATTTATTAGGGAAGCTACCCTCTTACCCCTAATGTTACTAGAGCCTGATATTTACCATTTTTTCAGAATTTGCTTTTAACTCAGAGTATTTCTACAAAAACGCACAATCATCTGAAAACATTAAATCACTTCAGATATGTATGGAATCTGCCTTAATAGAAAGAGTTACATTATTTACTCACTGATAAAGATTAAAATACCGGAGTTGTTCTTGGGTCGAGGTTGTTCAGCAAAATTCTATAATTTTTATAAAAAGTTTCGATACCAATCAAAAATACATACAAATATAAAATAAATAAATAATTAATTAATAATTAAAAATTAAATAAATGAATGAATTAAGACAGTATAAATATTAAATAATCGACATTAATATTTTGAGTTTGAAGTTTATTTTTATTATTAGTTCGTAAGAGTTTACTTAATTGTTAGTCTATTTTCAACACTATTATAATAAGAGGATTTTATTTTTAATATAGACTAGGTTAAAATTATTAAATTAAAAAAATGTTATTATCGGTTTAACAGATCGTGTTATAGAACTGACAACACTAAGACAAAACACTATCAAAAATTAGCAATAAAAGAAATGTTTTATATTATATAATTATATTATATATATATATATATATATATATATATATATATATATATATATATATATATATATATATATATATATATATATATATATATATATATATATATATATATAAATGCTTTAAACAACACATGCCAACAAGGATATTGTATTGATTTAGTGTTTTTAATATTTTTGGAGTTATAGAGCCGGGTCGTGGCGGCATGTCTTGAAAAAACGTGTGTTTATTGTGTAATGGCGTTTGTTGTAGACAGTCGTTTCGTGAAGTAGGCGACCCCTACCCCTTGAAATACCTATAATAATAGACAGAGAGCCCACAAATCATCATGATGGCTGCTATTTCTGCAAGTGCAATGTTCATGGATATAACACTAGAAATTTGAAAAAAATTATTTATGTGAACCTCAAGTCCCAATACCGGGGAATATAGCTAATTTAGCATAAGATACCACCAGTTCTTCTGAACTTGAAATAGATGACCCTTCTGTGGAAAACAACAGGCCAATAAGGATTAATTTAACTCTTTAAAACTTTAAAAAATATTCTTCGCGATAGCCTTATTGATCTATGATAAATGCTCTTATCACCATTGCACATTAAATTTCAATTTTAAAGTTTTTCTAGGAAACAACAAATATTCAAATTACAAAGATATTTTATAAAACATGTTAGACAAATGGGATGCAAGATGAGATGAAGATATCCAGGTCGATTGAACGTTGCAATGGTGGCACATTAGTGCTGGCAATTAAAAAGGGACAATTCGTCAACAGAATACACAAGAAAATCTACTAAACGAAGTTTTTCGTTTTTTGTTATTTAATTTAGATTTTTTAATTTGATTTTTGTTCTTGTACTAATAAAAATAATGTTTAAATCAACCGAGATTTTTTATTTATTAATTCTTTTGTTGTTAATAAAAAAACCTTATGTGATAGAAGAAAATGCTTATCAGATTTAAATTTATCAGATCGAAATCAAGTTTCAGAAGTTTAAAAATTGTTGGCCTATGTGCTCGAAAAAATAATAATTTAAGTCAATTACATCATAATTTCATAACCTAGTCTAAAATGAAAATCAAATCTACTTTCTTACAATAATAGTGTTAAAAATGGACTAATTAAATAATAATAAACAAACTTCAAAGTCAAAATATTAATGTCAATTATTACATATGTGTACTTTCTTAATTCATTGAAAATTTCACTTAGGTGTTTTAGATTCTTGATAAAGACCCACATTATGATCAAAAAGTTAAATAAAATTATAAAAAATTTAAAGAATTTTGTTATTATTGAACAACCTCAACCGAAGAAAATCTCCAGGATTATATGTATTTCAAAGTCGAAGAATAAAAAGAAGCTGAACAATATTGTTTAATCTGTAAAGAATTTCTTGATCAAAACTCTTTTATGGATTTTGACCGCCGACAACCATCCACATGTGGCAAACCTTACAAAATAAATATATTTTTTTTACAATTACAATAAATACGTCGTTCTAATATAAAATGCGTATTAGGATCTAAAACGTAACGACCGTTACAATGGAATTATAGCACATTGAAACCAACCTGAACATTCTTGTCGATTTTATCCTTAACAAAAGTCACATAGGTTTGAGTCTGGTCATTGGGCAGCCGTTCCATCCGAGGTTTACTGATAACACAACCTAAAGGCCGAGCCAGTCTACCCATGTGTTGCACGAAATCGTTGGCATACTTCGCATCTTGCTGAGTGTAAAAAACCACCCAAGTGTGGAGATCTACAGGCGAGGCAACCTAAACACGAAAATATTGGTGATAATTACTTTACAAATGATACTTTAACTCCTAAATGCTACAAATTACGTTAGTTTTGAGTTCATCGAAATTATTTGGATGATTTTGTGGAAAATCTTCGATTTTCTTTTCTTGAAAAAATTTAACAATGTTTTTGTTGGATTTATTAAGAAAGTGATCTTTGGTGGTTTCAATTTTTAAATAACCAATTAAAGATAGATTTTGAATTTTTTCAAAAAATCGATAGTATTCATCAGCAATTTCCTCATACGTCTTGGAGGTATAGATTCTTGTGAGGTCGGAGGCTTTTCTTCGTCTAACGTAAAAGTGTGTACTTTTTTGGCCAAAATCGGTGTATTAATTAATATGATTAATTTTAGTTCTAAAATTTACTCCTGGATCTTAGAGACAGCACAACTAAGAGATAGAGCGCTGATCAGTGATTAGAGTAAAGCGTTTCCGTAGTCTTTTAATGCTCAAATAGAATGCATGGTTTTTCAAATTTGGGGTAAATTAAAATTGAGTCGAATATGAGAGCATATGTAACTTAACTGTACAACTGTTCTGACTGGAGTATATGTACTGGAAGGTAATGCAAAAAACCAACCTCCTAACACGGATGGGAGCAGAGACATCACCAATAGGTCCACAGCCGATGTTGACTATATCACGCCAATTGGCAAAAAATGCCAGAGAAAACTTAAGCATACTGGTGGCACAGGGTAGACCCATTCAAAAACCAAGTTATTGAAAAGCCTGTCTGATGCGGCGTTCCAAATCTTCTATTGTTCCAACCGGAGTTTTATTCACTCTTTATTTAAACTGACTACTAACTACTGAGCGTGAAATATCCAAATATTTTTCCTCGTTCAAATTATCATTGTAAATACAAAAATCTATTTTATTATCCGTCAAAAAACAAAACACTTTGAAACTAAATGTATTTCTCGTACAAATTTTTGATTTTCTGATGACCAAAAATGATTTTTCCTTCTATTAAAAATACCCTCAAGTGAAAATTTTCACTCGTCGGTTCAAATACTTCTTTTTAAAAAATCTCGATCTTCTTGTATTTTAACCAATATCATCTCACAAAACTTTACGCGTAATGGGGCATCACAAGGGAAAAGAGACTATAATGTAAGTATTTTGTAATTATGCAGATTATGTTCAGCGTCCGTTGAATAGACGAATAAAATATGCTAAAATGTTGGTTTCATTTTCTTCTGACTTTGTAACAGGTTTTGGACGTTCCCTTCCTTCTTCGTAGGTTTGGAAATTTTTTTCCAATTCGTTTAACTTTTTCTCATAGATTAGCAGCAAATAGGGATATTGTTAATTGAGTCTTCTGCACGTTCTTGAAAGAATTCTTTGACACTTGCCATAAATGTAAAACAAATTCAAAATAACTGCGTTTGCATAATTATGTGCCATCTTCAGTCAGTTATTTTGTTACAGGAAATGTCACCATGGCCGGCCAGAGCCTGCTACCCAGACGAATTGTGATTACTTTAATTCCTTTTAATTGCAATCTTTTGGTTTTATGCTTATAATTTGAAAACCAGTGAAAATATATATACGATAGATTGGTACTTTTAGATGGCAAATTAATTACTTATTTAAGTGTAAATGTAAAATAAGTATATTTATCTCCAAAAATGTTCAAGATAGGTATGGTACATGTTATATAAAAAAAGTTCCAGAAAAATGTAACGATATACAGGGTGTTTCATTTAAAAAAAACGAAAGTTGGTATATGTTACTATTATATCTGACAACACTGTATAGCCAAAAATCTTTTATATAAACGCCTAATAGGACACACACAGTAACTGACCCTGCATATTTAGGTAGTGAAGTATGTGCAAAACGATGCCCACTACAAGACAAACGAAATATAAACTCTTCTGAGTTTTCTTCGAGAAAGTTCAAGTTCCCCTCATCAAATTCTTTTTTTTTCTTTTAGATTTAACAAGTCGTACACTCTCGGAAAACAGTTTACACTTTTTTTGAAAGACGATTTTTGTACGCCGAAAATTAGTAAATACGAAGATACCAAGAGACATCACACATATTATCGACACTAGAAGTCTTCAGGCCGAATCACGGCGATATTGCCTCAAGTGTATGTTCCGGGCTTCTTGAGGATTCTCGGGTAATTGGCCAAATTCTACGTGGGAGATCATTCAGTGGCGTGCATTAAAATTTTATGAAGTGTGGGTGGCATCGGATATCAACTGTATAGAGCGACATAATTTTCCGCTATATGAAAACAATATTTCCTGCGGAAATTTCAAATATCAATACAAAATCTCATATAATACAGAACCCAGCAATAATAATAATAATCAACTTTATTTCACATTGTGTCATAAATACATTACCTAAACATAATATACTAAACACAAAGGAAATCGGCGTCAAAAAAGGAAAAAGCACCAGATATTGTTACAAATTTCAATTACATCGTATTTACAATTATTTAAATTTTACAGAAAAAATCTTCTATGGAGTAAGGTTCTAACTCTATCAATAACTTTTTTATTGTATATTTAAAGATTTTTAGAGTTGCAATTGTTTTTACCTCATTTGGTAATTTATTATACAATCTCAGGCACATATAATAAGGACTCCTTTCAGTTAAGGTTAAACGGTGAATAGGGTAATTTACATTTAGGGTTCTGGTATTATATCTATGAAATATCTGTGGTTCGAAGTCCTTTCGATTTTTAAAGAAGAATATCAATGCTTCATAAATATATAAAGCATATACAGTAAAAATACCTTCAGTCTTGAACACCCCTCTACAGCTCTCTCTAAATTGCATTTTTTTGACAGTCCGAAGAGTTCTCTTTTGAACCACGAAAATTTTCTGTAGTTGACCACTACCCCCCCAAAAGATAATTCCATACCTCATGCGCGACTGAAAGTTTGCAAAGTACATAATTTTTAAAGTTTCCTTATTCATATAATTTGCAACAACTCGAATTCCATAACAAATTGAATTTAATTTATTTAGCAGATAATCAATATGTTCAGACCAATCAAGAAATTCGTCAATTTTTAAACCTAAGGTTTTAGTGTTATTTACAATAGTAATATTTTCTTTACCTAACCGTATTCTTAATGGTATTTCAACTCTACATAATTTAGTTCTAAACATAATTAACTTCGTTTTCTCTTTGTTTAATATCAATTTATTTCCTAGAAACCAGTCATATGCCCTTGTAAAAATATCGTTGCCTTTATCACTAACGTCAGTGAGATTATTTCCACCTACAAGCAGGTTGGTATCATCCGCATAGCATATTATGCTCTCTTCTTCTGACTGTGTTACTAAATACAAGTCATTCACAAAAATAATAAATAAAATTGGACCAAGAATACTACCTTGTGCTATGCCCAGACTATTTTCCTTAATATCCGAAAAATAACTAGTGCCATTTTGGGTTATTCTTACTTGTTGCTTCCTTCCTATTAAGTATGATTCAAACAATTTTAGAACATTACCTCTTACACCATATAAATCCAATTTTTTGAGCAATAAGTCCCTGTCTATACAGTCGTATGCTCTAGAAAGATCTAAGCACGTACCTAAAGCTATTCTTTCGCCCTCCAAGTGTTTTAAAATTGTTTTTATAAACTGAAATATAGCGGTTTCTGTTGATTTATTAGCTACATAACCATGCTGATGATTGTTGAACATTTCATAATTATTAAAAAACTCTAGGAGTCTTTTGCAAATAGCCATCTCAAATATTTTAGAAAACCCGGGCAAAAGGCTAATTGGTCTATAATTGGTAATTATTTCCGGATCTCCCTTTTTATAGATCGGTTTTATTAATGCTGCTTTAAGTTGGTCTGGGAATACGCCATTTTCAAATGATTAACAATCCAACTGTTTTACTTGCCAACTCGTTAATTGTATCTAAGTTGTCAAACATTTTCTGAATGAAATTTTCGGAGAAATCCAGTTTTGTAGATCTGTTTTCATTTTCATTAGGTTCCGCTTGTCTCTTTTTATGATTTTCCTCCACTTCTGGACTTACTTCTGATCTCAATCTCTTATTAGAAAATTGTTCTGTATTCACCTGATCTTGTGTGTGTACTATTTTTGGAGGTGTACGCAACACATTATGTTTTGGCTTAAAAATATCCATGTTTTTAAATTCATTAATAGCACCTGATGATTTAGTTCCACCCTGTATAATTTGTGGAGAAACGTTAGCAGTCATATTTTTATTGACTTGATCGTCCTTATCAGAATCAACCATTTTTTGTTCATGTTTATCTACTGTTTTTTCTGTGTTATATTTATTTATGTACGTTCTTATCTCCTCCGTTTTTTTGTCTACGTCTAGATATTCACTTTTTGTTATTTCTTGGGCGGGCAGGGATCCAACAGAAAAATGCCTTGTTTTTGGGTTCCCTTTTAATTTACTTCTTCTGCCATCACTTGCACTGCTCATGGCAATGTTTGTGTTTCACTTCACCAAAAAATAAAAATTACTTTACACTATATCACTGGGAAAATTCGAAAATATCTGAGCGATTGAAAATACGTGCACACCGTTAACACCGCTGGCTAATATTTATTAATCACATCTTGAAAATTGATTCCATCTAGATATTTTACATGGCACTAAAAAAATGAAGCCCAACAAGTTAGTGGGTCCAGAACAGATTCTTACATTTATATTTAAAGAGTGTATCTATCAGGTTCTATGACCATTAAAAATAATTTTTAATCTTATTCTTAAAAGAGTACCCAATTGCATGTAAAATGTCAAGAGTTTGCCCAAATCATGAAATGGGAAGATTACAAACTTATGGCAATCATTTGCCCACCAAGTAAAATTTTTGAAACCATTTTGTATAAGTACATCTTTTCTCATATATCAGAAGTAATACACGGCACGACCTTGTGCCGAGAAGATCGACAACTTAACAAGCTTTTTACATAACATTATATTTACAGATTTTTCAAAAGTGTTTGATCGAGTTGATCACCATGTACTTTTAAAATAGTTGGATGCTTCTGGTGTTTCTGTCAATATTCTTAAGGATCTTACTTGGTGGCTAATGTTGCAGTCATATCAATTTGTCCCATCTTCAGCAGTACCACAGGGGTCGAATCTGATTCAACTATTTTTCCTTTGTTTAATAAAAGACCTACAAAATGGTCTTTAGAATTACAAAGGTCCACAGTGATTTTGATGTTTGAAAGCTGTTTGCTAATTTGTTTATTTTTGGGGGCTCTTTTTCCAAAAAAGGTCATATTTTTGATCTATCACGTCATTTTTTTATAGCGCATACCTATGACATGAATATGTATTTTCTGTGTTAGACATCATTTTTAAATGAATTGATTTTTATGAAATTAAATGTCTTTTGGAAACACTAGATAATTTTAGGTTTCACTGCAAAGCAGTAGAGTTGGTGCAAAAACGTCCATACAGCGTTGTATAACCTGCTTATGCGCAGTTTTATTGTATTAGTCGTCCTGCTACTATTTTCGCGGCTGTTATCATGGTTGTCGCGTATTTCTAATGTTCTCGGATAAATATGGAAAGAAGAAGACATTGTGTGAACAATCCAAATAACTTTTGTTATATCTGTGGTAATTATGTCGTATGTCGTAGTAAAATTTCTTTTGTGAAAAATGTATACCACGCTTATTTTGGTGTACAAATTGGCGACTAAAACAAGTCCTGGACTCCTCATACTGTTTGTTCCGTTTGCGTTGAAGTATTAAGAAACTGGCAAAAAGGTAGGAAGTAATATTTAAGCTTTGGTGTTCCTACAGTATGGAGCCTTCAATTACAATGGTGATTGTGATTTTTGTTAGTATAATTTTCAAAACACAATGACCAATGTCAAGATAAGTTTCTTGGGAACTTTATGGACGAAAACTACGAAAGTATTGTTCAAAATATGTTACAACACTTTCATCGTCTAGGCTGCACTATGCAATATTTTCCTGAAAATCTTGGGACAGTTAGCGATACCAAGGCAGATGGAGCATAACCATGATGGCGAACTACTGCTGGATGTTAAAACGGGATATGCTATGATTTCAATAAAAAAAAGTATGAGTAAAGATTTTTTTTCACTTTTTCTAAGATTCTACTATTTTACTGAATATAAAAATAAATTATTTTAGAAATATCGCTTTTTTTTTCTTCAATTTTAAGTATCGTTAGGTGATACAAAAAAATGCATAGAATTTTTGAAATCAGCCTGCCAAAATGATATAAAATCAGTTTTAAAAATAAAAACATCTCTCAAAAAGTTTAATTTTGTAGACCTGTGTTATTCGCGAACGACTTTAAATTTTATAGAGTTATTAAGGATCTAGAAGGCTGTCTTTTACTCCTAGAGAATAGACCACAAGAATGTGCAAAATGAAAACAAAATATCCTCTAATGTACAAGAATGTTTTAAATTTACGTTTACACGAAAAAAATATCCATTAAATTATGATGATCGACTCAACAATATATTAAGCACAAAAAAGCAAAATTAAAGATCTGGTCGTAAATTTAGACACAAAAATAAGCTTCGAAACCTTCAAAACACATATACGTAACACAACGAAAAGGTATGTAATGTTGTGTTTTATTCTCTGGAACAGATCAAATTTTTAACAAATAAAAAGTTTTGTACCCTTGTCCAACTCAACTAGTAAGAAAAATGCATTCAAAAACCATTAAAAAAATGCATTTAAAACCTAAAGTATTGTATTTAGTGTAAATTTCACTTGATAAGAGTGTGTATTTTTGGTTTATAGAAAAAAATTAATTTCATTTTTTTCTCTTGCGATACGGTGCGGTTAATGTAAATAATATTTGTGATTGTAATTTGTTATTGGGCTGTGAAGTTTGTTGATTGCAATTAAATAAACAAATACACTTTTTGTTCAAATCTAACTTGTTTGAAATTTTGTTAATTAGCGAAAACATTGCCTCAACTGTGCTTTTTGAAAGCCATACCGATGGTTTAGGGAGAATTTTGTTCTTAACAATAAAATTAACTGATCGTTCATTTAGACACTTTTCAAGTTTTTGTAAATGCGGTAATGGGGCTGATTGGAATAAGGTTGTTAATTTTATACTTGTCACCAGATTTGTAAAAGAGAGTTGTGACAGCAGTTTTAAATTGGGTTGGAACTACTCTTAGGCTAAATTTTAGATTTATTATTTGCTTTAATTTTAAAAAACTTATGGTGATGGTATTCTTGTGTCGTGCATGATGATAATGGGATTCTAGACATAAATTGTACTTTTGAAAGTTCCTTTTAAATAAACCAACCATACTATATATACATGGATGGTAAAGTTAGTATATTCAGCTCTACAAACGATTGTCTGGCATCACTGCTCACTAGCCACTTCAAAACAATGAGCGTTTTGCAACACCAACTCAATTATAATCTAACCATATAATACTGACCGTGTTGTTGGTTAAATCTCGGTTCCAATCGGCACCAGGACCGACGATTATTTCATTGGAATTCCCAAATCGAATGAGTTCTGGTTCGAGCTGACGACCTGGTAACTCAACATTGCTGGTGGCTATCGATAAACCCCACTGGGCCAGAACTTGTTGGGCCTTCTCGCTGTTCTTGACGTTGTCCAAATATATCCTCAGGGCTTGCATCCGCTGGTGTGGCGTAACACGAGTGTATTGGGCGATATCTTTCATAACCTGTTAAGTAGAAAATTAAGACCTATGTGCGCAAGTGGAGGTAAAAATTTACAACCCAGTAGCAAATCGTTTTGTAATATAAAGCACAAAATAAATAAAACTTTGTTTAACATTTGAATTCACATTTTTTAAAATTTTGGTATAGTCAAATCTCTCATAACGGGCACATCTCCGATAAACAGACATCTTCATTTTGATAGCCTGGAATTAAGTATTCAACAAGACGTAATCTCTCTTGGTGGACGTGGACACAATATTTTAGTACAAAACGTAAAAAATTCTCCTTTAAACGCTCTCCTGCACGGAGCGTACAAATTTTTAATTTTTTAGAGCTCTAGATGCCTTAAAAGAAAAGTGATATTTTGGAAAATTATTAAAAAAAAACTAGTGTCAGGAGTTTTGTAACAACGTAGTAAGATGAAATTATTAAGAAAAAAGACTAGTTGCTCAAAAAATTCCATTTCAACGTTAATTCAAATGTAAAACGAATTTTTTAAAAGATATGCTATGATTGGTTTTCAATGGCAAGAAAGGAATTCCACTCTCAAGTAAAAATATGTCGACGTTATTGTACTCACTTTCAATAGTATTTAATAAAATTCTAGAAACAAGCATTCGAATCAAGGAAAAAGACATTGGAAAAACTCTGAATATCAAGTGGATGGACAAATTTCGGTAAAGGCATAACATCGCTTTCAAAGCCATTGCTACGAAAGCTGGAAGTGTTAATATGCAAGATGCAGAGAACCTTAAACAAAAAATATCCTCATAGGTAAATGACTATTTGTCCAAAAATATTTTTCATTTATTTTATTTTTTAATTATTCAATTATCCAAAGACTCACCATTCCGTATTGCGTAAATCTAGCAGGACATAAAGAAAAATTATTGGTTATTGGCAATAAGTTTTGAATGACATCCACTATAGTGGAAGAATGGTTCCACAATTTTGATTTAACAATGGATAAAGAAAATAGAAAAATTCTGCTATTTTTGAATAACGCTGCCTCGCATCCTAAAGACCAGTTAAAAAACATTCAACTTATTTTTCTTGCGCATCTGTTATCCATGAGGCTAGGCCAGGGCACAATACAAAATTTAAAAAAAAAATACAGGTCTATTTTAATTAAGAATTTGTTATCAAAAATGGATTCTGTTGATAACGTTCAAGGTCTTATTGAAGCAAATGCTATTTATTTTATAAATGCTGCATAGAAAAAAGATATAAATTAAAAAAAAACTGCTTTCAAAGGGCAGGCGATTCCGTTAAGTGAGGTTGATATCCATAATATGAAAAATTATGATTTTTCAAAAGAAGAAGGGTAGGTTACCCTTGTCAGTTTTATCCCAAATATGGCGAAGCGCGAAAACAATATTGTTTGAAAAAACTGATTTAGTTGAATTTATTGCCGTTGATAATAACTTATTAACAGATGATATAGAAGCCACCTTCCCTAACAAAATTGTAAAAGAAAACAACATTACTTTGCTTTAGTATGGCCCAATCCGATGATAAAATGACGGAGATATCCAATAGTATAAGCTATAAGTGGTATAGCGAAAACAATTCAAGAATTTGCCAAATTTAAAGGAGATTCAAGAGCAATGCAGATTTTATCTGACTTGGAGGCAAGGCAACATACTACATTTTTGTTGTTTTCAACTTTTTTACTTATAGTTACAACATGTATTTACTAATGTGTGTGAATATAAGAAAACAAGAAAAATCTGCCAATGTAGTTTTCTCATGCGCAGACACCTCTCTTAGGCGGAAGATCTATTAGAAGAGTATAATGGAAATCACTTGATTCTTGTATTTTGATAAATACAGAAAAAGAATATCATGTCTACTTACTTTAAAATCGTTCCTCATGGTGTCCGTTAAGCCAGTCAAAAATGACAGTTCAGGAACAAGACACACCATTCTGTCCTCTTTTTCAGCTTTTCCTGACACCTTCACACTTCTCCGGTGCAAAAGCAGGGGTTGGTTAACATCATTAATAGTTATGTTGTATTGCTGTTTATAATAATCCACAAACGTGATTGTGCTAAAAGAAAACAGCAAACCAAATTTTAAAATAATGATAAAGAAAAGGCGCGTTTCTGTTGCTTACTTTCCATCTCTGGTTGGGAATGTGTCATTGGGAGTCATATCCCAGAGAAGATCATCAATTATGTAAGTCTTATTGTTGTAGCGCGTAAAAACACAAGAACCAATGATATTTTTCATGGCATTTTCCTTAAACATTCTTGGATCTGATGCGCACCGGATCTCAGTTAACAATTCGTAGGCGTTTTGATTACGCAACACTTTATGTTGAGTATCTAGGCATAACAGTAAACCACCTTCGAGTTCGTCTACAGTAACTGCGAAACCTGGATACACCTATAATTATTTTTTATCATTTAAAAATTTGAAAAATCATTTAACAACTAGATTGTGAAAATTGCACTTCAATTAGACAAAACGTTTTAGCGTTGGATTGCTCACCTCCAACTTGTGCTGAGGAATGAGATGTTTATGGGCGGGATTAAAATAATTCCTTCCCATCTGAGTATAAAGTAAAATGTGCATGATCCTTTTGAATAGTATATTGTACAAATGTAGACACTCCTTATCCCCAAAATACTTCTGTCTCTTGTAAATGATAGTAACTGCAACTTCTTGGTCGCTCCCAGGCAATGTACTCTTGTATGTCTTTATATCCTCAGGGATTTTGTTAGGGAGATACAAGCAATGACCTCCGTCAAAAACTTTTACTGATTCCATATCCCTCATCATTTGGTTTACCATTCGTATTCGCTGGTTTTTGGCGTCCAATTCAGGATCAAATTTCACTTCATACTCAAATACGCCATGGCCTTTTTGTATATCGAGTCGGATGTAATTGGCAGAAATTTTGAGTGGCTTTCCTGATTCGCCTAAAAATAAATAATCTTATACATTCACCTTCACATCATATGGCGCTTTTATGTCACGATTTTTTGAACAGCATAGTACCCCGCGCAAGCTTAACTAGACAAGTGAGTGACAACTGACCTAAAGTGAGCTGAGAAGAATGCGTATGGCCATATGGCGTAATGATTTTCCAAGTATGTCCCTAAATTTCTGAACATATTTTGCGGCATCCTAATTTACTGACCATCTGTCAGCAGCCATGCTAAATGCATGTTGTCATTTTTTTTATAGTTGCTTTATAAGTTCCTGTACTATGAGCAGTTAGGCAGGGCCTCTACATACACATATTTGGTGTATGAGCTGTGCACACGGCCAAATTCTAGAAAGATTCCAGAACAGAACTTCTAACTTTCCTATCACGTTCAGGCTTAAGAGCTGTATAGAAAGATCAAATGATCATATCTACTAGGCCATGGAAGCAGATATCAAACAAAATCGTTTGCGTACTACTTAACTGAAAGTTAAGCTTGGTTCCTGGGTTGTAGATTTTATTTTCTTAAGATTTACTTCCTTAATTATTTTCCAAGGATTTTTATTTTGTTTTATTGCTTTTGGCCATGGTATTACGAAATTCAACGACATGTTTAAAATTGTCCGACAACTTTAGGTTATCCTTACTCCTTCAATAGATTAAAATATTATTATGTACTCTTATACTGTTATTAAAAAGTCCTAATATAAGATCTCGCATAACATGACAACGTAAAATATAGTTTTTCTACTCCCTACTCTAAAGTACTCAATTATACACTGATTAATTGTCCCATAGATGTCCGCAGGTTGTTTCCCGGCGGTTTTTAAAATGTTAATGATATTTTGACATTTGTCAGTTTCGATCATTCTATTATTAAGGAAGTACACAATGTAAGTTAAAGTGACCCTTTGCGCACGTCTGATCAGTGTGTGATTGGGTACTGTAGAATATGATGAACAAAAAATTCTTTTTTAATTTGCTAAATAGTATTTTTTTCGAGACTGTCGTAAAAAAGTGCAACCCGTTTCGTTCTGGAATTTCGGATGAAGTTTACATAAAAACTATATTATTTTTGTGAAAACCTCTGTACAGTCTGTACAGTCGTGCCTACACACTAGAGAGAGAGATCCTTGATTATTTCTTGAATTATTCTTAAAATTCGGCTCCCTAACTAAAAGCGCCAGGTCAGCAAATGACACACATTTTATTAATAAACAATTTGAACAAAAAAAAAACTTTATCACATCTTTTTTCAGCTTTATGAAGAAGAAACAATGACCTTGAGAATGTTCAAGCACTGATTGCACTGATAGAAATAGACTAAAAACTAAACAAGAATGGAGGCAAGAAAACAGGGAGTTTCTGCAGGAAGAAGGAAATCTTTTATAACTTTACAAAATATCTGTAATACAGAGGATAGTCTAATGAGACCAAAATTCAATCCCCATGTAACAAATAACAAATGGTAAATGTTTTTCATCTAAACATACAAGACATAAACAATGTTTACTATAAATTTTGTGTGCTCCTGGGTTTACAAGCAGCGGTTTTGACTTGACAGAGAGAACAACTTGACAGTTTTGTCTTGATAGAATACCAGCCTCATCTCTTAATATTTTTTTCAAAAATTGAGAAAGTTATAAAAAACATACAAAACATTGAGGTATTGAAGCGGATATTAAACGAACAAAAGCAAACAAATAATGACGCACATCAACGAAAATTAGACACTCTGCAAAGACGACATCTTGCGGAACCAAAAGAGTCCTTCTGATAGTAAAGACTGGAGCACTGAAGTTGACATTTCACAATATTGAGAGACAATAAAAAGGCAATTAACCATCAACTAACCAAAAATATAGGCTATTTTCGGAGGATTCAAAAATACATAAACATTTATTCTATTCATAATTCCATTTAAAATAAGAAAGTTGTTACTTGGACATAAAAATATGAACATCCTGTATATACGATAGTATAATATATTAAACTATAACTGCATCTAAACAATATTTGCATTTAAGTTTTTTTGATATTTTTTACAGGCTCTCCAATTAGATGTTATCCCATAATAATGGGCCACGGGGTGTTCACCATTATATCAGAATTGGATGTTCTATTCCATTATAAATTATTTATTTAGGAAACCCATGGTCTATTGCTTCACGATAATTAAAAGAAAAAAATATAAACATGATTTGTTTATCCCATACTATTTTGCTTCTACTACAATCTGCTTCCTATTGTCCAAATAAGATAATAAACATTTTTTTGCATATACTCTTATGCCATACTTTTTCAATTTTTATATTTATTACATAATTCTAAAAGTATTCCAACCCTCATTAACCCTTTTCAATGAGTTTGAACTTTCTGACTAAAATGAAAGAGTGCAGTATGTGTTCACTTTCCTTTTAAAAACTCATCCTGAATAGATCAGAGTTAAGAAGTTCAACAACCTACCATTCACTTATAATTCTATCACATTATCATACTTATAAAAATAAAAACAGGCCACAAAGCAGTTTAAGATTGCAGAAGGATATTGAAAGAACTTTTACATACAGAGATTTTGACCATACAATTAGTGACGGGTACAGGAACGGAATTTATGCAGTCATGTGCAGATAAATTCCAATGATTCATTGGAAACAGAAAAATATATTAAATTCCTTCCCTGTGTAGCCATCTGAAGATCGGTCCAGTGGCAGACCAACCTGTTGGATGTGGCTGACGAATTGTTGACTTACCCTTATAAATTGCGGGTTTTCCTTCTGCAGATAAGCTCACCTCCTCCAAGCCCTTTGTCAAAGTTTCAATCTTCCACACTTTTTCAGAAGCAGCAGACGAAACTTGAGACTTTGTGGTAACTATACTGGAGTCGCCACTACCACCTACTTTTTGGCTTTGTAATCTCTGCAACATTGCAGCTCTACCTCTAGGTTTCGGGGGCTCTGTTTTAGCATCGCTGGCAGCAACTCCAACCGCACTCTGAGCTTTTAACTGATCAAGTTTTGCCTTTAAAGCAGCGGCTCGACCACGAGGGGTCGGGGCGCTGCCATCTGCCATGGTCCCAAACTCTACTTTAAACTTCAATACTAAATACTCGGTTGACTTAAAAGAAAATTGCCAAATGCATAACGCTAAAAATTCGACAAATATCTCAAAAAGTAAAACAGGACAGTTGTTGCCATAAAAGCAAGGTTAGTAGTTAATTTACTTCTAATGGTCACGACTGCATGAGGCCATTCGGCCAGCTTACAAAAAAAAAACAATTAACTATAGACAAAAATCCCAAAGGATGCCTTCGTAATGAAAAGGACTGGACTAATCTATCATCCTCCAGGTTTGTTAACGTATTCAGATTGAGTAAAAAGCAAGGTTAAGGACAAAGTCATATTCTTGTAACAGAATATTTTCTATTGTTTACGTGTCAATAAGTGACCGAAATAAGCAGGTTGATTATTCGGCCGTCGTCCAAATCGGTCCATACTTTTGTTAAGCCCTTTCGACAAGATGCAATTTCTACATGTATTTTTCAGAGAAGTGTTAATTACGTCCCTGGTACTTACAATACAGAAACCAACAATAATTTGGTTTTTTTTTATTCTGTGGTCATAGACTGGGCACAAAATGGACTTAATGCAGCAGCTCGATTTCTCTACGTTTGGGGAAATGCAAAACAACTCGTTTTTCTGCTCTCTTCTGTAAAATACCTCTTATCGTTACTTTTTAATATCAAGTTAAAATTCACTATAAGGCTGGCCAAATTGCAGGTCCACAAATAGTAAATGAAGAATCGTTCCAAATTTTTTGAAGATATTTCTCATCTTACAAACTCATTATTTCGGAAATTGTATTAGAACAGGATCAAAAACACACAAAATGTAAGTTTTATAAATATTGGAAAAAAAATTATATGCGAAAATGTCTTTTTTTGTTGTCATTGTGGGGACATCGGTCTATGTCTCCATATAGTTGACTATATTCTCTCATAGTATATGATGTTGACGGATGATGGTGAATTTAGTTGTCTAGCAGTGCTTCGTAAAAACAATGACATAAAACCGCTCCTAAAATTTCAATTTCCGCTAAATGAAAAAAAATCTTTTCAAATCTCCGAATATAAAAAACAAAAAAAAGTACCTAAGTACCTACTTACCTACATGTAGTACATGACATTTTAATTTCAAAATCAAAATAAAAAACAATATCACGGAATAAAACAGTTAAATTCGCGTAAACCTCCATGATTTATTCTGATCTCGTTGACAAAGACAATCAGAACATTGCTGTTAACAATAAATGTTTTTTAACTCGAATTTTTTTGGTGGTAAGCAGGATACAATTTTTTCAAGCGAAATGTGCTTGATTATTTTGGGGAAATTTTGTTTTTTGAGATTGTTTTTTCAATTTTGATACTTTAAACGATACTTTTTAGTGTTCGGACATTTAGTTAAGGCCGCCACACACGGCACATTGCAAGTCGGCCGACTTGGTTTGTACAGATAGTAGAACTAGCGTGTGTGGCGGTTCTGCCGATTTTAGAAGTTTATTGCCAAAAAAGTGTATATACATGATTACATTTTTTAATAGAACTGCTTCGAAATAGTTCTTGAAACGAGTGAACTGCTTGAGTTGGACCTCCTTGCAAGTGCCATTAAGAAAATAAACTTTATTCGAACATGTTGTCGCATCAGAAAAGTTTGGAGCAACTTTTAATAGAGCAAGATATGACTAGACCTTTAAAATCCAATATACGTATTGAGAAATATTGGAATGAAGCACATAATGATGCACTGATATATAAATAATACTTATAGTTTCGCATTACCATACGATTTAGCAATTCAATCAACGCATCTCCTGTAAAATATTGCATAAATCTTTGTTTTACTTCTTTCGTCCGTAAAACCATGAGTAATACTGGTATAAATATTTTCCTAATCAACACTTTCAGGTGGTACGTAATATGATTTCCGCACTTTACGCGAATAATTGTGAAGGACACAACAAGCTAGAACGATTATTTCTATTGTGCCAACAGCCATTAATATTATCCTAGCTCTTCTTAGATGGTTTTTAAAAATTCTTCTCTCGCAATTAGGTAAAGATCCTTCACTAGCTTTTGGAATGTTAAGTTCTTCTGCCAACCCTTTTCGGTAAAAATTTTTGCTTCGAATCACTCCACCATCCGATATTCTCTCATATGTCACAGTGTAGCAATTCATAATTGGCATTTGCACTGGCCATCAATACAGTACTATTCCGTGTTACTTCTAAAAAAATAAGAAATCGCGTGTGCAAGGATCTACAAAAAACATCATTTCTTAAAAACCGTTTACGAGACCAAAAAAATTCTGGAACCAGAAGACGCAGAAGATACGGCTCCATAAACTTTTATTCTTGTCAATTTTTCAAAAAGAGACAGGGTGCGCCGCAAATTAAAAAAAAAATGGAAAAATGGGTCCCCCCTATTACTGAAAGACTATGATTCAGATCTCACTTTCTTTTATATTGCGATATAGCCCGCCTAGACAGCAAAAACTTTTTTATTGAAAGTTTTCACATATTGTACAGGCTGTTCCCGATGTTCCATGCTAAATGAGAAATGTGTTGAGTGTCCTACATTTGCAGACATCATCTTCAAATTTAGCAGAGAAGTAAAAGTCCGTGTCCACATTTAAACGGTAGAAATTGAGTGCAATTTTAGCTTCTAGAAAAATATGTTTTCCTCCATAATCGTTCACCCGATCGGCAAAATTATTTAACTAGCAGACGCGGAAGATCCAGTGCAATAACATTTATTTCCGGCATTTTTGTCGATTATATACAGGGTTTTCAAATTATATTCCAAAAATTTAAAAGACGTAGAAAATTGTTCTTTTACCCAGTAAATTATTAGCCGCAAATCAAAAATCGTAAAAAATATGGCTAACTGGTTCAAACGGTGTCACGGGATATTGAAAAAATCCATATTGAAATCGTTATTTCAGGGGATGTCAAGACGCGATGACGTTATTGATTATTATGGCGTACTGCATGGTTTCAGAAAAAACTTATAGGACATTTTATACAGGGTGCATGCGCAATTAAATTACATCGATTTTGCGAAAGTTCCATAGTGGTCCGCAGGAGCACGATAGAAAAACAATGCGTCCTTTTACGACGATTTTTCAAAAGCAATCTTGTTTTATAATTGAATTAATGTGAACCCATTCTTTTCGGTACGGTAATATTAATGCGCTTCCCGTCAAGGGCTGCATGACAGTTTTGAAATTGCCATTTAGTGTTAAATTCTTTTCTAATATTTTCCCAGTGGGCTTCTGTTTCGATATGAAGACAGTACACAGAAAATGAAATAATATCAGAATATGAATCCCTTTTGTCGTCATTGGGTAGCAGCGTTATTAATACATTATCTGGCTATAAAACTTCGATCGTGACCATTGGAACGAACGAAAAAAGTCCACAATGTGCTGGTCATCGTGACAGACAAATTGCAGCAACCACCAGAACAAGGATTGAAACTTGATAGTGCTGGAAAGCCTGTGGGCAACGACTTTTATGTTTGTTTATGTTATGGAAAAAGTCTTGCGATAGTATAAGCGGTTCTCCATTGAAATTTGCGGAGACTAAAATAAAGTCAAAGTCATCCGTGTCAACAATGGGTGTCACGCAGGGCTCTGTATTACGACCAATATTTTGACATTGTACAGTCTGTTGGGGGTTTTAAAGTAACGGCTGCACAATGCTAAAAGAAAAAACCTATTTTATACGAAGTAGGGAGGCAGGTGCTACTACGAAGGCGTGCGATTATCAACGACGGTAAAAGCTGCTCCCAAAGTATAGCGGTGCTTACGTTGTGACTAAAGTACTTGAACACTATAGGTATATCGTAAAAGATCTTCCGGGCGCACGATGGGCTCGGAAGATACACGAAGGTGTCTGTTCCGCAGATAAAATAAAGCCTTACACTGCCGCGCACGATTCTAGCAGCGATTTAAGCTCTGAATTGGAACGGCTTGAGGACGCAAAATTATTGTTTCATTCGAAGAATCGAGTATACGAAGAATAAGGTTAAAAAAAAGATCAGAGGTTCTCCTTGTATACATTTCCGAAGTAAAGATGATCGATGTAACGATAAATTAGTAAATAAAATGATAACAATAATGATCTAACTAGTTTTGTTTTATAGCGTTGACGAAAATTTCCGTGGACAGAAAATGGGTAGCATGGCCGAATGAAACATAACTGCATCTCAGGTTGACATTGATGACATGGTTAAACTGTTGAAAGAGAGGGTAACTATGACCATAAAAATTTTTTAATGAATAATTATTAACTCAAAACGAACGGTAAATCAGTCCGTCAGCGAGGTGACATGGTTCGTATCTGAAACTAAAAAAATAACAAACAAACAACAAAAACAAACTTAAAATTACTTAATTTTACCAGAAAATACAGATAACATATATCTTATCATGGAATAACATTTGGAACTGAGTTTATGTTCATGTTAATTTAACTACTGTACTCATGAGAAAGTTGGTTTAAGTCTTCGCAATATCACGTAATGCAAACAATAGCCCGAATGCACAGGTAACCGAGAAATGCCGGGAACATATTTGTTAAAATGTTTACTGCACCCCAAAACTATGTTTATTATAAATGACGCCCTTCTACTAGTCGATATTTTAACAGAGCGAGGGGAAAGAAATGTGGTTTTAAGAAAATATCCGACTCTCACAAGGTTGCTTATTGCATTGTACATCAAAAAAATTTATAGGGTAGGTTAAAAAAAAAATGCGGCTAACACTGTTACCAACATCCTTCGATTTGGAAATAGTCAAATCCGAAGTCCAGCTTGCGTTCACGTACGAATTTTTGTTTCACGTAGTGACACTGTGCGAACGGAAAACGAGGCATGCGCGGTCGGTTGATAGTAGTCAATTCTTATTTAGATCAGTATCATTTTACAAAGTAAAAACCTAGCCGACTGTGTAGTTGGAGTATCTTTTAGGTATAATTAAAATTGTGGCTGACCAAAGCTCCGCTAAGCCTTGTAAAAGGTACAAGGGAGTGGTAGGTATTGGTCTATTCTGTATCAATTGCGGCATGATATGGTATAAATGGTGTGTTAAAATCATGAATAAAAACGAAAATTCTCGGAGGCGACAAGATTGGTTGCTGTTCCTAAGGAAGCGAGTCCTTGGAGTCGAGTCCAACTCCTGATGATTCAGGAGCTCATGCTCCATTTGATGCAGCAAAAGAAATCATGCATTTGAAAGAACTCTTAAAAGCAAAAAAATGTTATTATCGAAAATCAAGCCATAACCTTTACCGCTCTAAAAGTGCAGGTGCGACTATTAAAA